AAAATACCTAAAGAAGCTTTGATCTGTAGCAGGGATTAGCAGCCAATAGACCGCGGGTAGGATGCGGATCGCTAAAAGAGACTAAAATATACAGCCTGGTCTAAAATTTAGGTAAATTTCTGTTTGTTGAGTTTGAAGAATTACTATAAACAAATTATAAATATATTGTTAAAGAGACTTTGAATAACAATGTGCATGATTTGGTAAAGGTTTGTAATGATGGGCTGAACGTCCTACAGCAACAGCGTTCAACAGTTCGAACCGTGGGAGTGTCGATAATCACGCATCCATTTCCACGACAAGACGACGAGGTGGGGTCCGGAGCGGCTATTTAAAGCAAGCGGCTGGCGGAGTTAAAGGGGTCTTGTGGCTAACGCTCTAGGTTCCCCGGCTCGCTAGTGCATTTAATCTGCGAGACAACCCGGACAGAGAGACTTCCGCAGTGAGTATTACCCTCTGTTCTTAATCAAGCAGAACCCGTGGGTATAGTGGTTTAAACGATACAGTCAACTCTGCCTCAGAATATAACGTGGATCTGCGCAATCGAATATTTTGATTGCGAGAGCGTTTGGCGCTTCCGCTAGACTGAGGTGGAAGCGAGTATAAGTCTGATTGCGATCGAATTCGCGTATTTCATTTTGTTGTTAGTAATAATAATTTTTCTTTTACAGGCGTCCGCCGCGGAATTCACTCTCGCGGGATCCAGGCGGGGATATAGAATATATATTATTTTTATTTTTGTACATACATACGTTAGAATTAAGAGATTTATTTTTATTTCCACCTGTGTTTTACTGAGTCTGTCACTTCGAAAGAGCTACCCGCCACAAACTGGCACCCGAGCAAAATTCAATAAGTGCTAAAAGAGACCAAAAATTAATAACATGCCGACAAATAAAGACACAGACTCAGTAACAGGTACGTCGTGGATACACCGTCTTTGCAAAGAGGAATTGCAGAGCGAAGCCGAAAAATGCGGCTTACATCCCAAGGGAACCGTCGACGAATTGAGAGTACGACTCAGAACCTATTTTAAAGTTCGCGAGGAAGCGACAGGAACAATCACAAAAGAAAGAACTTCCAAGGGAGCAGAATCCGACGTACTGACTCGGAACGGGAATTTGGGTTTGATTGACAGGTTTAAAAGTATGCTTTGGTAGGGAAGTGATTTCGAAAAGTTTGATTTGTAGACAACTGTATGTAAATATAAAAATAATTCCATATTATATAAAGCTCGGATAACCGAGGCTCCGCTGTATTAATTATAATTATTACAATTTTCTAATACTATTATTTTATTAAAATGCCTTTGTTTTGCTTTTCAGTTTCCAAAAACCTATGAGGACGGGAAAATATAGCAAAAGACTGAAGATAAATATAATTTTCAGCATTACCTTGGAAATTTTAATGGAAAATGACTGAACATAATTCCTCCAAATGGAAGCGGCACTCTATATTATAACTATAAAGGTCAACAAACTTTGGTCTCGTTTGCAATAGATGATGCAAATTATTAGTTCATACTATTAGTCCAGAGATTTGACCTCTAAAAATTATACAAACAAGGTGAATTTTGCTAAGAATGTCAATTTTGAGACCCCAAAAACATGCACAAAAGTTTGTCATTCCTACCCACGGGGTTCTCCTAAAACCCTCCTCGTAAGGAGAAAAAACTGAAATAATTTTGACCAAAAATGTTAATTAGCACTTTTTGTGTAGAATGAACCGTTTTCTCAGAAACAACGCTTGAAAAGACCAGCATGTCAATTATGCTTGTGAAATAATTTTTTTTAATAAAATTAGTATCAATTCGACGGAAAAATTTGATATCTTCTGATCAGAGCGTCCTATCCACAAAAATCAAAATGCGCTTTAAAGGTAAAGAGTATGCAATTTTAGCATTTTGCCGCAAATAAAATCAGTTTGTATAAAGCTGTCAAATAAATGAACGTTGCGTGATTTTTGACATTTTTTACAATCCTCGTAAGATAAAAAAAAATGTATCACTTCCATTGTTGGTCGCTGTGGAATTTCCATTGTTAAAGCCTAATATTCAAAATCCTCCAGTAACATACCTCTCGAATGGTTTGATCGTGAGAATACTGATAAAGGGACTGTGACTCCGGGGTTTCAAACAGTTGTTTTTATAGAACGCTGGAACTTTGGAAATATCACGAGCATTGCCGAATAAATCGATAACTATCTCATTGATAAAAAATATTTTTTTACCTTATTTACCAAAAGTGGATTTATATGAATGATATTAATATTTTCCATTTAGATGTCTAGGTAAAGATTGTAATTACTCAATAAAATATTAAGTATTATTAACGAGTTTTTACTTACCTCACTCGCAGATTCGTCTATATTGGAGTTGTTTGTAAAGTGTAAAACGTAAGTGTTCAAAATACCACAATTTTGAATGGTACATTTCGTCTGCACCACTGCCTGTTCTCGTAGATTATTCGATTGTTTTAATTATTTTCGAAAACTGCTACGCATATTATTATTTTTTTTTAATTATTAAGTCTTTGCTAACTAGAGGCTCCACATACTGAGACTATGTGGTGATTTGATGAATCTTCTTTATGTAAGACAAGTGTTATTGTGTCAAATTTACTGATCGATCGACCGATATTTTATCGTGTTGTACAAAATTTATTAATTCATTCATAAGATATTTCTTTTATAACTGATTTCTTTTAAAAACTTGTGGATATTACTTAATAAAAACATGTTTTTGCTACCGCATTCTTTTCATTTTTAGTAGATAATTTCGTAAAAGTTTACCAGGGCATAAAGACTTCCTAATCCATCCTTTCATAATTTCACCATCCAGAAACTAATCATTATTATCATCATCATTGGCTACACAGCCCAGATTTTACCTTGATCTGTCTTATTCCACTTTATTCATTACCATTTCTAGCTTTCTTTCTCCAGTTTCCAGTTACGTGAATTTCTTTCCTCGCTTAGGTTTCTTTTTTTTATTGCCATATTCCAGTAAGAGCCTAAGAAGGTATCCATTGAATTCGACAGGCAACGGTGGGGGAAATCTTTTTTGGACTTCTACGTGACGGAACAAGACACCATAGTATCTTTCGGCCGAGTGGGATACTAAGCCAGAAAACCCCAGGGTAGTGACGGATTAACCGTGTTCCGGCTAAAACCTTAACCATCATTCCAGAGAGGTGGTCTTGCCACTCAATAAACAACTAAAAATTTATATATAACCATACCTAATACCGTAAATCAGAAAATGTTTAGACGTTAGGGTATAAACTAATAAACAAAACTATAAATTTTTAGATCACTGTATTAATAGCCTCCTCTGTCCTCCTGCTCTTTTTTTTTCATCACCCCAAAAATCAGACAGTGTACTTCTCCCCATTCTTTCTCTCCTCTCAACATTATGCTTACAATGTTTCTTTCATCCAGCCCGAAACCCATTCACTTCTCGAAATCTCCCATCTCATTTGCCCATCTCTGGCAGTTAAAACTGTGGGTGGGAGCATCCGGTACCGCACAAACAGTGCAGTCTGCCGAGGCAGATTTGCCTACTCTATTTGTGAAGGTGCCAAAACTACCATGTCCGGTCAGAAACTGCGTCAGGAAGTAGTCTAGTTTCCTGAACTTACATTCCCACCACGGTCTCAGATCGGGAATAAGCTCCTTCGTCCACCTTGGCTTTCCACTAACCTTCGCCCATTCTCTCTGCCACTCTACTATCATTCTTTCTCTTTCATTCTCATGTATATTTACATCCATCCTCGCTCGCTCTTTACACAACAAAACGATTGGTATCACCGCTCCAATGACATATAGAGCCTCATTCGAGACTGTCCTATATGCACTAGACACCTTGAGGAGCATTCGCCTTTGCGAAGTCTCTATCAGCTTAGCGTATTTCGCAGTGTTTAGTACACTACACCACACAGGGGCAGCGTAGGTGACTACCGACTGGAAAACTCCATTTAGCACCTTTCTTTTATTTTTGTATTAAGATTATCCAAAATAATTTTTATATCTTTTTGGGCAGCTATTGTAGATTTGTTAGGTACTTCATCGAATCCTTAAACCATTCAGAAACTGTTCCAGCTATATTCACAATTATATTTCAAAAATTCTAGAAATTCTGTTTATCAATACTTATTGAACTGTTTACTTTCCATATTATTTTTTCATTGCTTCAGTCTTTGTACAAATTCTTTTCTATTTTACTGACCAGCACCATATTTTTAGCTTACAAAAATCTCTATTTTCAAATAAAATTTATCAATATTTTCAATAACAAGATTATTTGATACTTTAAAGCCTATTTCTTCTTTAATATTAGCCTCCCAAATTGTTTAAATTATAGCACCATCTTTTTCTTAGTATGCCAATACTTTTTCGTCCATTTGGTGACTTATCTCGTGCTATTCGTACTATCCTATCCTCTGCCATTCTACTAATGTGTTCGTTCCACTCCTGTTTCCGTTTTTTCACCCATCCATTTATGTCTTCTATATTGCATGCTCTTCTTATGTTTTCAACAGACTTTTCCCTGATATTCGTCGGAGTACTTTCATTTCTGTTGTTTCTAGTAGTCGTCTCGTTTTAGATGTGTCAGGTCTTGTCTCCGCCGTATGTATGTTAATATTAGTCTAATTGCTGCTTTATAGATTCTTGTTTTTGTGTCTTGTCCTTAGGTGCTTGTTCTTCCAGATTGTCACTAAGAGATCCCGCCGCTTTATTTGCTTTTAAGCTTTGTTGTCGTACTTCTTCTTTAACACCTCCGTAAGTAGTTATGTCTATTCCCAGATATCTAAACCTTGCTTCCTGCTTTATTATTTTTCCACCAATTTCGATTTTACATCGTAGTGGGTACTAGATGTAATTCTTGACTGCTGTATTGAAGCTGTATGGTTAACGAGTCAACCATACAATAGTAATAATACATTAACACTGCCTGGACCTACATTAACTACACCCGAAGAAATATAATAAAATACAACTTACTAAAAATTATTTATTTTACTGGTAACAAAAATATAAAATTACAATTAACATTACAAATACGCTCCCCATCCAATATACATCTGACATAGATTATCAATGCTCACAGCTTCTTTTATTAAATAGTTAGTTTGTCCTTCTACCGACAAAGGCATTGTTAATGTTCTGTTTCTTGTTTTTACAGATCCTTTCAGTCTTAGTTCTATGTTCTTTATGTGATCGACGGCCTAAAACAATAATAAGTTATTTAGTTTTTATTTGATTATATGTGACAGTCATGGAGTAAAACTGCGAAAAATTAACTAAAAATGGAAGAGAACTAAAGTTAAGAAAGCCACCACCACTCTCTTTCAATCGTCCTGGTTCTTGGCACTTAACTACCTTCAAGTAATGACTAAAAGAAGGCTCTGAAAAGAACTATATATACTGCAATTGTCAAAATACGTCTTTTTCTTCGTACTTTACTGTCTACATTTCGTCCACTTGCGTCAATGTTTAGATTGTCGTTTACCTTGTACACCTATACTTCTTCGTCCCGTTGGCGATTTATCTTTCTCCATTCTTCTTCCATTCTATTATAAACTGTACTATCTACTATTTTTTCCTGTTTACTAGCCAAGCATTTAATTTCTTAAAAGACCCCATCAAATGAGTTTGCCTATTCCGTAATTCAAATTGTCTGAAGTCACCTTAGCTATTAATAATTTAAATGATAGAAAATCTCCAGAATATGACTTGATTAGTGGAAAAGTGTTGAAAGAATTACCTCCTAAATGCATAAAACTCATTCAATGCCATACTAAACTGAGGATACTTCCCCGATTAATGGAAAGTATGTCTATTAGTCAAAATACTTGAAATCTGGACCAAAAATTTAATTCCAGGCCACCAGTTTGGATTTTCGTCTCATTACTAAACAATTCAACCATTTCACAGAGTGGTAAAACATGACGATTTTGAGTCCAAGAGATCGTGTTCAGCGGCATTTCTGGACGGTTGGCAGAAATTTCACAAGGTGTGGCATGAAGGCCTCCTATACAAGCTAAAAAGGACACTACCGCACAGCTTTTACATTGTTCTTGAGTTAGGTAGGTGTCATTAAATATCAAGATGCAACTTCCAAACTCTATTCTATCAAAGCTGGCGTACCACAGGGTATCACTTGTTTAGTGTAATATACTCACGACTCTCCAGGAACCACTAGAGGAGACGATGAACTATGAACTGGATGAATTGAATCATGGATAGACAATGTAGATGAAGATCTTAAAACCATGAACCTCGGGTAGTGGCGAAGGAAAGTATCGGACAGAAAACGTTGTTGAGTAGACCAATTCCCACAAAGGGTTGTAGTTTCATTAGAAGATGCAAAAGAAAATCGTGAGGATGTCCAGAAGTTGGATATAACTTTGGGTAGTATAACAGTTGACCTAAGGAGACGTTTACTCTTGGAACTAAAAGAGAAATAAAGAATTCCAGGTCCAAGTATGTTCACTGTGCAAACCCGCATTCAGCTGTTTTAAAAGACAAAACGGTGAGCTTTGTGACGTAGGTCTATAAATCTAGCATGGTGGATTTTGAGATCACAAAGAATTAATAATTGAAATGTACCAACTGAAATTGAAGTAGACAGAATTTGGTACTTCTTCTTCTTCCTCTTTATAAGCAATTCTGCTTGTTCGTTGGCGGATTAATACCTCTATGGAAGGTTGTCGCTACGTTATCTTTTTTCGGGGGACAAGGAAAACTCGATATTTTACATATGAGAAGATTGATTTAAAAGGAATACAAAAAATGACAAATACTCGTATGCTAAACCTTTCTTTAAAACCAATAAGCATACAAATCCAAAAAAGGAAACAATCACCTTAACTCATATGGTTGTTCTACATTTCTGTCAAAATTCTTTTGTTATTTCCAAAAAGAAAGTAAAATTATGAGAGAAACTAAACAATACAAATATTTTAGCAACCAGTTGTTTTCATTACTCGCTGTAACATAAATTTAAGTGAACATAATCAGTTACATCTTACAAACAAATGTCCATTACAAACGAATACCTTTTTACATCTTTGTCTAATGTTGAATATTAATGTCTCTCAATTTTTTTTTCGACAATCTTTGAAATATTTGACAAGCACTGTGACATTTAGCAAATTCGTACGACACTGCAATTTTATAGTATTACAATGTAAAAATGAATGTGTAAACTATTCACTGATAGCAGCTGTACATAAAAAACGTTTAAAAAAAAAATAGGGACATAATCTATAAAAAAAACGAAGCACTGCACTGAATACATAAAAAAATTAAAATTAAAAACAAAAGCAGTTATTTTTCCTTTTTCATATTGACCGTCAGAAAATATTCAGCATTGTGATTGCATCTGCTTTAGTAGGTTATAATAATATGTAAAGACTTAGGAGGAATTATGCTTTTAACATTATTTAAGATGAAACTAGTTGGCACTACTTTAACTCCGTTTTATTTCATTTTTGTTTATCTGTACATCTTCTTCTTCGTCTAGCCATTCACGTCCACATCTGAACATAAGCCTCTTCAAGTCTTCCTTTCCATTGTTTTTTATTGTACGCTACTTGTAGCCAATTTTTCCCGGCAGTCCTTTTCAGATCATCTGTCCATCTCATAGGAGGTCTGCCTCTGGGTCTTTTGTGTTGGTATGGTCTCCAGGTTAAAATTGATCTGTGCCATTTGTTCAGATCGCTCCTAGCTACATGTCCAGCGTATTCCCATTTCAACTTTAATGATTTTTGCACCACATCGGTGACTTCGGTTTTCTGTCTTATCCATGTGTTGGTTTTCTTGTCCTTAAGTGATATATGTACCTAGCATTGCTCTTTCCATCGCGTGTTGAGTGACTCTAAGTATATTCATATTCTTTTTTGTGATTGTCCATGTTTGTGCCGCATAAGTTAATATCGGAATAATGCATGCATCAAAAACTTTAGATCTAAGATGTAATTGAATTTGTTGATTTCTGAGTATATAGTTCAGTTTACCGAATGCTGCCCAAGCCAACTTTCTTCTTCTTTTTATTTCTTCAGTTTGAATTTCCTATTTAGGGTTATCTGTACATACATAACTTTAAATCAGACTATTTTACTGCATATTTAAATCACTGTTATTATCAGATATTTCTAATATTCAGTTTCTTAGCCGTTGCCGGCAACGTACCATTGCCACGACCAACGAACATTTCTTTTCCAAACCCAGACCAAAAGTAAAACGATCTGAAATTCCTCCTACAACGATCTTCGCTAAGGAGATTGTTAAATGCTTTTGGAGATTGGATATGGAGATTGTTGCTTTATTTATTTTCTGTGTAGTAGAAGGATGTGCCACTTGTTGGTCTATATTTATTCAGACCTCTGCGAATATTTTTAAAATTTATTTAAGCGACAGAAAAAAAAAGAATTGAAAAGTGAGACAGTAATTAAACCATCTTGGAAGCGGCACTTGACTTAATATAAACAGACTCTTGAAATTTAGTTGGTGTAATATTTTAAAACGCAACAAGATAGGAACTTTATCGACTTTTATGATATACAGGGTAAAAAGAAAATGCTACAATAGTAAGAATAGAAATAAATTTCAGAATAAACAGCCCAAAATAGATAAACTTTTAAAGAATTCCAATGAGATTATAACTTACCTCTTCGTTTGTCCTTTCAGCATTATGAACACTTGGCAAGGATGATACATGTCTTGGCCAAGAAACCAAAGGATCATAAACGAAAGGTGCCACTATCGACATAAGCGTGTTTGAATTTTCTCTTAGAACTCGTAAAGTACAAGCACACGACTTCCTGAAAATTCCTTCGACGCCCAAAGGACCCATCGCCGATACCATGTTGTGGGTGAGTCGAAACGGAACTCTTTCGGGCCAATCAAATTTTTCGCCTAAAAAATAGAAAATGTAAAACAGAAGTTGATCCAAAATAAAACACTGCGTTGAAATATACTTAAATCACTTTAAATTCGAATATGTACCTTTATTAAATAAGCAGTTAAAATCGACGTGCACCACATCACCACATGTAGAGTCTAGTTGAATGTTTTCGCCATGTCTATCCCCTAATCCTAACATGTATCCAGCCATCGACATCACAGCGGTTGTCCGGACGTAGGCAGTTCGTGCTGTTAACCAACTCTAAAAAAAGTACAAACCATAAAGTTATTTTTCTTTGTTATTCAAACTAATCAAAGACTATGCATTAATATTTGTCTGATAAAAAGAATGATTTTGCTATAACGAAAAAGCTGACTTTGTGTTATTTCTCCCAAAGTAATTATATTAGCTAGAACTTCCAAGATTTCCTTCTGTTTGGGTCATGATATTTTAGCACTTAGAACGTCAAGCATTGTACATGTGTATTTTCTCTCCGGCAAGTGTTCGATGTGATGGTGCCGGAAGAATTAGATATACAGGGTGGTCCTCAAATAATTGTACAAAAAGAAACCGTAGATTCTACACTTTAAAATATTACGATTTAAGCCAAATTGCTTTAATAAAAGGTTGATATTAAGAAAGATACAGGATGTTAAAGTGGAAATTTAAAATTTTAATTTTCATTATAACTTTCATGTTTGTGAAAATTTATTTGTAAAAATTCATAACTGGGTACTACTAAACATCAGGAATTATAATTTGATGCATACTTTAATTTAGCTGTTAGAGGGCGCCACATATGCTACATATGTGGCATACATCTGCACTTAACTTTTTTGCTCTTGAAGTTACGGGTGTTTGTGATATAAACTATTAAAGATACATTATTTTAACAAAAATAAGGTATACTGGCTAATAACTTCAAAACTCAAAAGTTTTCGAGATAATCGCATTTTACAAATCAACTACATAATTCAGATTTAACGCTATTACTCCAGGCAACGAAAGAAAATTAGACAAAAACATCAATACTTCTGAATTTTGGTATAAAATGCCTTTAATAAAGTTAATAGTTAACGAAATATTAAATAAAATAAATAAAGCAGCAGGATAGTTAATAGTAGGATTTGACAAAAAACAGAATAATTGGATTTTACATCAAACATTTTACGTTTTGTATTCAATTATAGTCATTATCAAAATATTTCACAGGACCACCCTGTATAATAATCAAAGTAACATGTTTTTTCTTTCATAAATCATCACCATAATTTTATGTTAGGCAGTGTATGTTGATTTTACTATAAGTATACAGTGTAGGTAAAATTTTATGGTCGGTATGGTAAAACTTAACAGGATATCTAACACAGATATAAAATCATATTTTCAGCGAATAGACAAAGATAACAATCATATTCCCCCTTGGTCTCCCCTCCATAAATCTTCTTGACGCCCATTGCCTGTTAGTGAGACGATTAGTTCCGATCAGAGATATTTTACATATTCTGTGATTCCGATCCTCATAAAGAACTAGAGGTGGGTCCTCTAGTTTTTTAAATTTTTATCGGAACCGTTTTTCGTAAACTGTAACTAGTTGATTGTTTACCAGTATTCAAATTAGCGAGTACACAAACATATTGGCTATTATCGTTTATGTGTATAAGTATTGAAGTGAAAGAAACTAACGAAGAATATATCGTCGTTCAGATGTCAAAATCTTGTATCTCAAAATTAGTGTATTTTGGGAAATCACCTAAAACTTCCCATAGTTGAAAATATAACTTTTAAAGTTATTTTTTTTTCTGAAATGTTGGTAGTTCCACGAAATGAATTATTTGTGATATTGATTAAACTCGAAAAAAATAGAGTTAGATTTTTTTGGAAAAAAATCGTGAGATAAGAGTTTTTGAAATTTAAATAGTGTTTAATTTCAGGTCTTACGAGGTTTTGGTAGCATATTTTCAGCCCTCTTACTCCTTTTTACACGCAAAGAACAATATTATAGACGAAAAATAAAATGTTTATTCTTAAATAAGAAATAAAACAAACATGTTACATAAGTACTCTGATATAAAACAAAATAACACGACTATTTTCCATATTTTGAAAACAAAAAATTAGTGCTTCAACGAGTCATAAAAACCATGATAATCTGGTTGAATAACAGTCTTAAGAGACTGCAGGTGATTAAATTTTTCTTCTGTAATGAGCAAATGGTCATTATACATTTTTCTTACGATTCCTGCATTATTCGTATTTTTGCGAACTGGTAAAAACTGCCACTCCTCCTCAAAGTTTAGTTTGAATTGGACAGGCAAATCTCTGGAATACCTGAGAGCCCTCAGATTATTCACGCATGCATCTCCCACTTTTTTTCCTGAACGAATGGATGTTTTCTTTGGCAGTTTTTCAAGGAATGCTTTAACTTTATTTCTGCGTTCAATATTGACAGGTTTAATCTTGGAAGGAAAAGTAGTAGTAGTTACTTTTGGGATATTAGCGTCATAACTAGTTTTCACCCAGTTTTGAACACTCCATTCACCCAATCCTAATGTGGAGAGAAACATTTTCTTGCAAACTGGAATTACGGTATTATCTATTTTCAAATGATAAAATAAACTTAAATTACGCCATGATTTATTTTGTGTTCTTTTTTGCACTGTTGGCTGTTTATTAACTAGCGTACACACAAATATCTTTCATTGATGCCAATCCATCTCAGACCAAAACCCATCAAAAATTTTCCTTCGTTGATCATCAGTTATCATTGAACATTTCCTTTTTTCTTTTGCTGCTAAACACTTTGCTGAAATGTATCTTGGTTTCATTTCCCGGAAGTTTCTATGTATGGTATCTATAGATCCATCTTTCTCCTTCTTTTTTTCTCTATATTCTTTACCAAGCATTCTTAAACATTTTTGTTCATTTCTTTCCCAAGTAGAAGAATCTGCTTTGCCTTTTTTGCTACGTCTTCTCTTCTCATTTTTTTCTTCTCGAAGAGCGTCTACTTCTTTAGGCGTCGCTTGAATTTTTTTGTGTCTGGCGACATTTACAGCTTCATCTTCAGAATCCGACGAACTATTTGGATGATAACTTGACTCTGATCCTTCGAAAGGTTCTTCAAATTCAATATCGGTATTATAGTGTCAATTTTCTGCAGCTTCACTGATATTTTCTATATTCAAAGTTAGATCCCTACTTACATTCTCCATCTGAGTACTGTCCTTGACATCAACATGCATACTATCTTCTATATTAATACTAGCCAAACATCTGCTTTGGTTGTCATTTTTTAAATGAGATCCTGTTTGAATAGCAGTACTCTTTTGGTTAAAAATAGTACAGGAATGTACTTGAATGTTTTGTGAACAACCTGATGAAAAAGCAGTGTGCTGGAAACTCAAGGATTCTTCTCGAAAGGTCTCATAAACTTGTTCAAAGCCTGTATTTGCTTTTTTCAAATCTTCTATATAACAGCTCTTAAGTTCTGCGACTTTTATCTCTTCTTCTGCGATCTCTTTAGAATGTAAATTTTGATTGGTAGTACTTTCATTCTGCTCAATATCAGAATCCGCTTTTAGACTTTCTAGTGCTCATTTGACCATTCTTAAAGCCCGGCTTGCCTAAAAATAAAACAAAAAATACTTATTTTGTTTCCAAAGAAACCTCGTAAATCAATATTCTAAATACTTGATTATATTTTGGTAAATAACGAAACCTCGTATAACAATATTTTTCACTTAAAAATTTACTGTAATACATTATTTTGGAAATTCTTGTACCAACTGACAAGTTTTTGCTTTTCCTTAATTGATTTATATTATTTGTTTCAGTTGATCACTTGAAATATAATAATTGAGTCAACATAACCTCAAATTTTTTGGAACAATAATAGTTATATTTCTGTTTAACGTAAAACAATGCGTCTACGTATTATTAAAACAAAGTATTAAAATGTTTTCACTTACCATAGCTTCTAATAAACAGTTATAATTCTTTTAAACCTATATAACTGCACAAAACTGTTCAGTATTTAACAATTTTTCAGACACGTGTTGACTTACGTGGTTTCGTGCGCAACATGTGAGATACAAGGTTTCTAAATTCGAGTGACGTAGGTGCAATTTTACATGCTTTGTAATAAGAGGTTTCTCAATCGATGCGGCTCGATTTCCTAATATAGGCCACACAAAAAACGAAAAATCATCGAAAATTGAGATACGGGGTTTTGACATCTTAGCGACGATATTTATTATAACTTGAAAAATAAATTAAACAATACAAATAGTACTTACATTTACATGGACTTAAGTCATTTCTTTTTCTTGTACTAGTTAATTTTCAATAGTATAATCTTCTTTTTCTTTTTTTTTTATAGAAGTAACCAGCTTCAACCATCAACTAGTTGATTTTAACGAATTTAACCGAAAATTTAGAGTTTAAAACGGTTTTATTAGGCTGCTACCATTTTTCTGGAAACCATAATTCAGAAAACATCGCTTTTAAAATTAGTGAAATTATTATTCAGTTGGGTCTAAAACAAAAAGTAAATTTTGCAGTAACTGATAATGCCTCAAATATGGTCATAGCTATTAAATATGTTTTGGAATGAAAACATTTAAATTTATTAATGGAGGACACACTTAAATGCTGTCGTGTACAAATAGATAAAATAAAAAGTCTTTTTTTCGACAATTCGGCAAAAAAACACATTTCAAAAAAGTACCTTATCTTCAGAAACGCTTTTAAAGTATCAATTACAACATAACAAAGATCCCAAACGGCCAATCCAAGACGTGAAAACTAGGTAGAACTTCACATATTACATGTTAGAAAGAATGACGGAGTTAGAAGAGGCAATCCGTTCCACATTGGTATCAGTTAATACAGACTTAGACTTAGACCAAATCTAAATAATGAAGACTGGATTATTTTTTCGTAATTGTCCCAAATTTTACGGCCTTTTAAAGAAATAACAAGTACAATGAGTGGCTAAAAATACTTGAAGGATAGTTCAGTGATTGTTCTGGTACGCTGCCTGCAAAAATCTTGCAATAAAATTTTAGCAAACAGTAACCTTACATCCATAGTATCCGACGTAGTACGGGTTTTTATTACTAATTACGGGATAATTACTAATCTCGGGTTTAGCAAAAAGATTTAGAGGGATAGAATACAGTGGCACATTGTCATTATGTACGTTTATGAATTCACGATTTAAAGTGCAGGGATTTTCTGATAAAAATGACGCTAAAAAAACAAAAGAAAGAGTTAAGAAGCTGGTTACTTCTATAATTAAAGAACAAGAAGATTGTACTATTGAAAATCAACCAGTATAAGAAAAAGAAACCGATAAAGATGACTTAAGTCCATGGTGTATTTTTGATCAATTAATTGGACATGACTCATCTAAACGTACACCTGTAGCGAGAGTCCATTACAATGGTGGAAAAACCATCGCCATGTATCTCCTAACTTAACCACTATATTCATAAAGTTTTGTAAATATGAACACATGTTCAAAATCAGGTTTAATTTTAAATAAAAGAAAAAACACGGTTAATAAGAAGTAAAGTAAAAAAACTTATGTTTTTAAATGTCAATTTAGACGATTCGTGATTTAATAAAAACGTGTAATGTAAACGTAGGTACGATTTACTATCTGTATTGTTTAGTTTAGTTTTCAAGTTATAATAAAATCTTTTATTAGTTTCCTTCACTTCAATAAATATACACATAAACGATAATAGCCATTATGTTTGTTTATGTAGGTAGTTTCTTACTTGAAACTACTATTAAAAAATCATAGTTACTAGTTTACGAAAATCGGTTTTGCGACGTCAATGACCCACCTCTATTCGTAAATACCTGTGTAGGTACGCTTTGATTCGGTGATTTGACCACGCGACACGCCACGTTGGCAAATAGTTTTGTACGAAGCTTTTTTATTTATATGCAGTTTAATATTTTTATTGGAAATAAGGCATAATGTCACTTTAAAATAAGCTTATTTTGATGTTTAGATTTTTAATTCGGAAATCGTTTTTAAAATACCAAACATTAATAAATTTTATTTATATAAAACGATTTCCGAAGTATAAATCAAAATGTTATATTACACTTATTGTAAAGTAAAATTGTGGCATATTCCCAATAAAAAACAATAAGCTGCCATTTAAATCCATTTCGCCCAATTTCATTATCTTGGAGCATTGTTCAAATGCGAAAAAGCCAACAGGTCAAATAAAACCAATAAGTTTGGCAACGTTGAATTTCCCCTTTTTATTATATCCACTCCATATCCACTCATTTATGTTCGGTGATATAAAAGGCGGACACCTAATATATCTCTCTCTTTTTAAACAGTTGTTTCTCACTCCATCTCATGTAAGGTCCATACCGACCATAAACTTTTACCTATACTGTAGTATAATATTACTTATATAGCGAACATTCAAAAAATATTTAATAAAATTTGCAACTGATCAATATTTACATTACCTGAGCATCTGCAAAGGTTTTTCTGAACCATTCGCCCAAAATTGCAGGATGACGAGCCAATAACTTCTTGATAAATACGTCTCTCTTCCTGTCAAGAGAATCCTTTAGGTTGCAACAAGCATCTCTCAGATCTTTCGTCTTCATTGCACATCCTAGAAAAACAGATCTTTGATCAAAAACAGAGAAGCAAAATATAGTAAATTATCATGATTTTTGTTTTAAACTAGAAATGAACTTATACCAAACTACAGGTAGACTTTATATAATACTATTTTCTTCAAAAGTGAACTGACCAGCTTGAAAACAAGCGCTTGCAATCAATGAATGACAGCAGTAACGGCATATGTTACAAACACAATAACAAAAAACGGTAAGATTAAAAATGGTTCAAAGCAAGCTGAAAACATCAAAGTGAACCGAATAGCAGTCATAGACGTTATAATTCGAACTCAAAATAAGTCCGAAGATGTATATTATAGTATATAGATTATATATTATCCCTAAAATGGGCGCGTAAAGTAGTGAATTGCGATCAATCTTCTTCTTTTTGTGCCACTCCTATCGGAGATTGGAAATCATCAAGGCTATTCTGACCTTGTTTACGGCTGACCTAAAAAGTTCATTAGTGGTGCAGCCAAACCACTCTCTCAAATTCCGCAACCATGACATTCTTCTACGGCCTGGATTCCGTTTTCCTTCTATTTTTCCCTGCATTATATTTTGAAGTAATGCGTATTTATGTCCCCTCATCAGGTGACCAAAATATTCGAGTTTTCTTCGCTTTAGCGTTAACAAAATCTCTGGGTCTTTTCCTATTCTTCGTATTACTTCACAGTTTGTTATTCTTTCAACCCAACTAATCTTCAGCATTCGACGGTAGCACCACATCTAGAAACTTTCAATATTTTTCATGTTGTTCTGTTTGAGAGTCCAGGCCTCTACACCGTATAATAGCGTGTTAAATACATAGCCTCTCAGCATTCTTAATCGTAGAGGGATGCTTATATTTCTGTTGCAGAAGAATTTTCTCATCTTTATGAAGGTGGCCCTGGCAATTTCGAAACGTCTTTTTATTTCACTGTTTTGGTCTCCAGTTTCGTTTATTAAAGTTCCCAAGTATTTGTAACTTGATACTTTTTCAACTTGAGTGCCGTTTATACTAATATACGCTGGTTGTGTCATGTTTTTACTGAACACCATATACTTGGTTTTTTTAATATTGATATTTATACCATAATTGTTGCAAGCAATATTTATGTCTGTAAGTAATCTTTGTAATTCTTCTACTGTTCTTGCAACTAGTACAGTGTCGTCCGCGTATCGAATATTATTTACAATCTCTCCATTAATTACGATTCCTCCGTTTGCTTGTAAAAGGGCTTCCTGACAGATGCTTTCACTATATACATTAAATAACAGAGGTGACAAAATGCAACCCTGTCGTACTCCTCTACGTATTTCTATTGCTTGTGATGTTTCAGTTTCTATTTTAATGTTAGCTTTCTGATTCCAATATATATTGAGAATTATTCGCAGATCTTTATTATCTATGTCCTTTCTTTCAAGAATCTCTCTAAGCTTATCATGGCAGACTTTTTTATGTATATTGAACGTGTCATACTTTCTTTCATAGTTTTCCATTTCTACACATTGTTCTGTAATCCATGATTCTTTGGCATTTCTTATGTTTCTTTGCAGATTTGGTTAGGTGTTTCTTTCCCGTAGTTCTTATTATAGTATTTATATACTTAAGTTTTTCATCTATGTTGTCTGTTCTGCGGATTTGGCTTTCTGCTACACTGAGGCTGGTGTTTATTTCTTCTCGCACTGTTTGTCGTAGATGTTCATTTTTAAGCTGGCTTAAGTCTAATGCTGGAATGATGGCTTTTCTTATTTTCTTTGGTCTAGCTTCTAACACAGATACTACTGGATTATAATCCGAACCGATATCAGCTCCAGGGAAAGTTTTAGTAGATTTTACGGCATTACGGTATCTTTTTGTCACCAATATGTAATCTATTTGGTTTCTGGCCACTTTTTCTTGTGTATGTTGAGGTGACGTCCACGTATATAGTCGCCTTGGGGGTAGTTTAAAGAATGTATTAGTTATTATTAAATCTTCGCTTTGACAAAACTGAACTAAACGATCACCCCTTTCATTTCTATTACCTAAGCCATATTCACCAACATTTTCTCCAACTTTACCCTGATCTACCTTGGCGTTCAGATCGCCCATTACTACTATGTTAATGTGTTGTCTCTTTGTTGTTCTCATCACCTCTTCTAAGATATTATAGAATTGTTCTATTTCCTCTTCGTCTTTGTCTGCTGTAGGAGCGTACACTTGTATGATGTTTATCATGTTCTTCTTATCTTTTAATTGTATTAACATCACGCGCTCTGAGAATGGAGTAAAGTTTACTACAGCATCTTTATATTTTTTTGAGATGATGACTCCAACTCCGTATCGATGGGTTTTGGTGTCACTTCCGGCATAATAAAACATACCATGATTATTTGTGGGACATTTGCCGTTTCCTGGCCATTGTGTATCGCTCATGCCTAATATGTCTATACCCAAACGATCCATTTCCAACACGACGTTATCTAATTTTCCCGAAGAGAATAAGCTCCTTACATTCCATGTAACAATTTTTATGGTTGTCTTTTTCTTTTTACAAGGGTTTCGCTAGTTTACGACCGAGAAAGCCTTGTACTTATCTATTTCTCTTTCTCTGCCGGATCTTGGTATCCGATGTCCATGATCAGTACTTTTCCTTTACATGTCTACCATGATGATTACTACTAGGGGTACTCTATGAGTCTTTAATGCAGTGGTTCCCCGTTGCCTTCTGCATCCTTATGCCGTTGACCATTCTGTAGGGTTGATTCTGTAGCGATCAATAGTTGAGTCCAATAAGGAAAGATTACTAACCTGCTCGACAAAAACCTATGACAAATATTTGTTCCTAAGAACCATAATGTAGAACAATATCGAAATAAGTAAGTGACCTTGTATCCAGTTCTGGATTGATACACTGGCTTACGATAACGGTAATAGAGATCAATGCCACATTTGACCGAATTTGCATCTACGTATGATTGTGATATTGTGGAATATGATAATACTTGAAATTATATGCATACCTCTTTGTTTATACAAGTTAATCAACACTGGTCTCAGTCCGACAAGATTTGGAACCCACTCGATTAGACCACATTCTTCATTTAAAGGTGCTACGGAGTATAATCGTATATTTAATCTTCTCTGTCTAGCTTCACCTTCTCTGGCTAATAAATGATTGACAATGTCGTTAAATTCCATTAACCTGAAGTCTTTTCTGAGATCATCTTTCGGTTTCAACATATAAATGTATCTAAAACAAAAACAAGATTAACATTGGGGAACAATTTGAAACAAAAACTTCTGTTGAGTTTGATTTTTGAGCTGTTCTATAGGAATTCAGACAAGTTGGTTTCAAAACTGTAATTAGCTTTTCTCTAGAACGTCAAGTTTTTTCTCTGTCCCACAATATAGCATGGATCATAAGAAGCACAATAGATCGACACTAACCTTTTCGATAGATGTAATTTGTAATTGATTAGCAAGAGTTGAATGATTTAGTACGAGATTTAGGCTATCTACAAAAATTTCAGAGATCTTAGCATAGAGAAACTTGTTTATTGTCATAATGTATGTGGTTTAATGGAATAGTGGGAATTTCATCCTATAATGCAACTAAATGGCGACTCTTTATCAATAGCAAAGCAGAGCTTGAAGTGTATTCTGCTCCACAATGGAAATGTAATTGGTTCAGTCCCCACAGGCCATTCAGTTCAATTGAGTAAAAAATATGAAGACATAAAGATAATTATTATGCGCCAATGGATCATCTGTGTCGACTTTAAAATATATTTGCTTTCTCCTTGCACAGCAACGTGGACATACAAAGCCATCACTGCCTTTTGTGTATATGAGACAGCAGATCTCGTGAGAAACATTGGGTACAATCGGTCCAAACATTGTACATCAACCACTTGTTGACAAAAAGAACACTATATTCCCACCTCTTCAATAAAACAATTCGTTCACAATTTGCCAATTGACGGAAACTATTTTAAATGACTCATTTTGGCATTTCCTAGCTTGTCATATTTGAAAACATAAAAACCGCTGTTTTTGATAGTCCACAGATTCAGCAGCTTTTTAAAGATGAATATTTCACTGTAACAATGTAAAAAATTAAAAAGAATGTTTGGTTGGCTTTCAAAACATTGTTAATTGCCCAGCAACTCTTGAAGAGCTCCAAATTGCTAGGTTGCAACATTAGAATCAAACTGTAATTTTTACCTTTTACCTTCGGATTTCCCGGAAAATCTTGATGCAGTCACTGATAAGCAAAATTAGCTATATCACATAAATTTGAAGGTTATGGAGGTACATTATATCCTAATTAGTAAATACACAAAACACTCAATACATCACCACACTGTGAGCACCGTCTACACTCCTTAAGAGTCGATTAAATAATCACAAGGACAGGGGGAGATTGGTTTTCTGTGGTTTCTCAATCTCATTGCACAATGATACCTGATCCTAGGTGAGGTTATAGCCACAGCTATCCTCCACGCGTTTTTCCAACAACAAAAAATGGCCAATAATCTGAAAGGAATCATTTTTTCCACGGAACTTGTACTTCGTGACAGGCTTGGTATACTTGGCTAACTCTTCCGGAAGGTACGATTTCCGCCTCTTGCCTTCTTGTTCTCGGTATCCTTCCCGTCCTTCTCCACCCCATTTTACCTTTTTTAGCGGCGGCGCCCTTAGTCTTCGGAGTCCAACTGAAGTCATACGAACGAAAACTGGCATTCAAACCAAATAAGCATAAGCACCCAAATAATTAAACCCACCCTTGAAGAAGCACAGAGCTTAAAGCAAGGTAAAAACGCATTTGATTGATTGATGGAGGCACAGGATTATAGATGGGATGTACGTATGATGGCTGAATATATTGTTGGAGCATCAAGCGAGAATCTCCTCAGATTCAACACTGCGTAAAAAGCTACAGCTTACAGATTTAAGACAACGAAATTGTTGTTCCCCTGTGTAATGAATAATGAATATTCATGAAGTCAAAAATCTCGGAACAAGTTAACAAAATAAATTACCTAGGTTATTGGATAAACAACCAACTGAAGCCAAATCTCGAGATTAATTACAAAATGAAACAAGCAATTGACGCATTCATACAAAAGAAAGGACTACCAAGCGACTCCCACATTAACTTGAGACTTAGGATAAGACTACTTAAATGCCATGTTTAACCAAGTATGCTATACGGAGCAGAATCATGGACGCCCACAATTCCAACCATGAACAAGATAAAGGCATTTAAGATGTGGACTTGCAGGAGATTATTGAAAATTCCCTGGACTGACTATTCTTTGGTCACTGGTACATTATTTTATAATAACTGCCAGGTAGATGGTTTGTTTCTTTTCACTTTAAGTCTCAAAATGTCCTTATGATGATTAGAAAACCATAAAGCATGTATAGAGGAATAGTGAGATTCGAATTAAAAAGAAATATTACGGTCTACATACATTTATTTTATATTATATTATTATTGTTTTTACTATTCCTATGTAAAGAGTACACAAGGTGGTACAAGTATAATATGCTGATAATTCTTCTTCCGGCAACTTAACTGGTCTGATTTTTCATCACTAATCTGTACTACCTCTGACAGTTTAATCTCCTAATAGAAGTAAGTAACTGGACATGACGGACATGCTTAAGAAATTGCTCGTAAACAAGGGAAAACATTTTTGCATCAAATTTACTATATTTCTAAAATTATTTAAGTTGTTCGGTAATATAAAGTGTTTACTAATATTTTCGTACAGAAAACTCTTTCAATAACTTAAATTTTCAAATAACTTGATCTTGTAAAATTAAATCCATAATTTATTATTAATTATTTTTGAACACTCCCTGTATCGTTAAAAAACCCACCAATTCCACGGTTATTATATTTGAACAACCCCTGAATCAGTACAAAAAAATAAAACAAGCCAAGGTTAGTTTGTTTTGCTGGATACACACAGCAAGCAAGACCGTCGTCGAAAAGTATACTATTAAATAAATAAAAAACCCCCTCTGTGGCTCAGTGGTAAGAGCGCCTGCCTTTAAACCTAAAGGTCGTGAGTTCGAAGAATCCCACCTGGGTGGAAATTTTCGTTTATTAAAAAAATTAATAAATGAAAATAATTTCTATCCTTGTGTGATCGGTACACACCGGAGGGACCGCAGACGTTCGGATACAATTAGCGTCTCTTAGCAAAGACAATGACGTCGACTTTGCTAAGTATCAAGACAATTACTCTACACACACACACACACACACACACACACACACACACACACACACACACACACACACACACACACACACACACACACACACACACTACACCTCAAATTGTAAGATTGGCGAATGGATTTAGTGTCCGCAGTCATTTAAACACAAACAAACAACAACAAATAAATAAAAATATAATGTGTTCAAAAAATAATACTTTATCCTGTATCATTACAAATTCCACGGTAATTATTTTTGAACACCCCCCGTATATTACAAAAAATAAAGCAGGACAACATTGGCTGGATACACAAAGCAAACAAGACCTTCGCCTAAACTGATCTCACAAATAAATAAGAAGATAGAGGTTATATTAGTTTCACATTTTAAATCTTTAGAAGTATTATTATTTAAGTCAAAATACTTTTGAAAGGTCATAAAGACTAAAAAACAGACTTCGAATATTCAACAAAAATGTCCCATTGTCGAAGATTGGGTCCAAACGACAAAGATATTGTAATATTTGCTACAAAAGAAGACCATAAAATACCAAGCAAAGTCAAACTTCCTGAAGTCCAGCCTCCACCAGGACTGATTTTGGATAATGGAGACATAAATTGGAACTGTCCTTGTTTAGGAGGAATGGCCACCGGCCCTTGTGGTGTTGAATTTAGAAATGCATTTAGTTGCTTCCATTATTCAGAAGCAGATCCTAAAGGAAGTGATTGTTATGATCTTTTTAAGACTATGCAAGGTTGCATGCAGAAGTTCCCAGCTTTATATAATAAGGATATGGGAGACGATGATCATGATGTTAATAATAGTGCAAATGCTCTGGCCTCAGCATCAGCAGCTGATTCAAATGAAATAAAAAGTAGTGATGCCAAACAATTAAAAAGTGGGAACTCTGTAGATAATAAGGATAAATAAAATCGGGTGTACAGTTTATGTTCTTTGTTTGAGGTTCCATAGTAGAAGAGGATCATTAATATAGTTTTGTTTATTTTGGAAACGAAGAAATATAATTTAAAGTAAATTGTAGTTGTTTTAAAAATTTAATAATTGTTTGCCAATTTAGTTGGCATCAAAAATATATAAAGATACCATCTTTGGTCTATTATACTACAACTTTTTATGCCTATTAATAGCTGACTTTTGTTTCTGATGTTAAACATTAGTTTTTTTCTTAGTTCCAAATTAGTTCAATTGGGATTGCAATTTGGTTTACTGTATTAAATACACTATTGTAAGTGCCAACTACAATCTTCCATTAAGCTACTGGTTATGCAACAAAAGATTGGTAACTATACCCACATTTCTCTATAAAAAGACAAATAGACAAGGATTTACAACTTTAATGGCAAAATGATTAATTCTGTACTATATTAAACCTTTCACCTAAAACAAAGGACACAACTATGTAGCTCTTTAGGTGTATTTGACCTCATAGTTCTTAGTATTACATTTTTGTACAAGTTAAAACTATTTATTTGAAATTGTGTTATACTTAAGTATGTGATACTGATTTTCCTTAAGTATAATGATGCAATTAAGCCTTCTGATGTTTAAAAAGATATTGTATCTTGATTATTTGAAACTATTAATTTTGTAGTATCCTGTAATTGCATTTATGTATCATTATTTATGTTAATAAATGTAATTAATTATATATTCCATTTAGTATTAATTATATAAATATACAAAGACATTCATTATCACTGCATTTATTAATTAGCACACTTTGATAATGCCCAACTAAGCCACACAATGTTTCCCGTAAAACTTATTGACAATTATATCTACCTAATTAAAATTATCATCAAATTTTCCTGTAGCTGGACACACCTAAAGAATACAGTTTTTGATATTTCAGATTTTTGAATTTTTAAATCAGCCATAATGGTCTTTATCAAAAAAAGAAGAAAAAAAAACTAGCTTACTTTTTACCATCAGATCCCTTTAATGAAATTTTCCTTGGTCGTTGCAAACTTTGCAATACATTTAATTCATCTTCAATTCCTACTATATAGACATACGCATTTGGGAAAGGATTGTGTTGACCATTACTAAAATCTGGATTCGGCAAAATCAATTTTCTTAATTTAAAAGTAGGCATCATAATCTCACTGAAGTCATCTTTTGCAAGTAATCTGAAATCAATTGGGACACATAGTACATAGACAGTTAAAATATTAATTGTCTTGTCTTAAAAGACAAACGTATCACTTATTTTGCTTTTATTTTAGTACACTCTATGAATTATCTATTAAAAAAATAAATATTGTAAATAAGCAATTCTACTCACCTGGGAAGCGATCTTAGTAAATTACTAACACTAGTAGTATTAACATCGGGTGGTATTTCTTTATTACATAATTCTATTAATTTTTCAGCCAAACTTGTAAAATCTCGTACTAACTTCGTTAATGTTGTTGTCTTTAACCTGGGATCGCAAAGAATCTCTGCACACCTTTTGGATCGAACAGAATAGCTGGATTTGATCACAGATATTATCATCCACAGACTTTGCTGGGGATATTGCTGAACTAACTTTATTATGATTGATTTCAACATTATATAAACCTGAAAATCATTATTTTAATTGCACAAATTTTGTATTTTATCATTATATGAACGAAATATCATCACAACAAAAAAGTTCATTTGCAATTGATTAATAATTTTGGAAAATAATGCTGTGATTATTCAATAATGTAATACTTAAGTTGATCCATATAGCATTGAGGCAAATATTCACATAAAATAAATATAGATACTTACCTCTTTCTGTGGATGACAAATTCTGGACACCAACTGAGAAAACGCAGTTAAAAATACATAAGCTGGCAATCTTTCTAAGAAAGAATCAATCAATTTAGTCATACGCAAGAGAATGTGCTTTCTTTCTTCTTTAACAGAACTCTGTGACACTTCCAATAGTCTAGTACCATAATCGAACCATATAGATAGCATACGAGGCATAGACTGGTAAATATAATGAGTTCCATACTGCAAAGATTTGCCGAAATAGTTGATCATTTGCAACTGTATGTCGCTTCCTCTGGAATCCTGTTCGGAACTGTCGTAACTTTGGAACAGTTTATCCAAATAGTGTGCCAAACATACCTAGTGAAAAAAAAAAAAAATTAAGAAACTTAATTATTTTCAGAAAGAACAAAAATGTCCACTATATAACCAACCATAACCCAATGTCATCAAATAATTAAATAACTTGGCCACAAATTACTTTTTCTGTCTAAAACAGACTATTGTGCATATAATTAAATAATATATACAGGGTGTTTCTTTGGGAAAGTAATATAAGTAACATAAGTAATAAAGTAATATAACTAAGTAACTGTAAAAAGGGGACACTTTTCTGAAATGGAAATTGAAAACAATTGAAAATAAACTTATTTTAAACTTAAATTAAGGCTTATTCCCATTAAAAGTAGTAAATGCATTAAGATGCCACAAAAAATTGCTTCAGAACAATATAATTTTTGTATAGAACAATATAATTGTTGTTATAAATGCTGCGGATTTGTCTGAGCTGCCACCTAAACCAAGAATATCAAGTAGTTCAATTGCATCGGTGACGCCTGTTAGATGTCAACCGTCAACTGATTGAAAATGAAAATGATAAATGGGAAACCCAAAAAAGAGGTTTTTACAAAACAAGTCGCCGGAGACAGGAGTACCTCAAGGATCAGTCCTCAGCACAACCTTATTTTTACTGCTTCTTAACGACCTTAGTTCTTTAGTACAACCCCCCGTCAAACATAATATCTATGCGGATGATCTAGTTATTTACTGTTCGGGTAAAGTAACAAGCTCCATTAGCACTCTTTTGCAAAATACTATTGATAACATTTCTCACTGGTCGAACAAAATTGGTTTCAGCTTCTCGCCTACAAAGTCTAAAGTGATTAACTTTAGCAAAAAATATAAACAAACTCTTCCACTCATAAAATTAAAAGAGCATCCACTACAAGTAGTATTGAAAATCACAAATTTTTAGGTTTTTTTTTTCGACAAAAAATTAACATGGAAGAGACATATAGAAAAAACTAAAGCCAGTGCCTTAAAAAATACAAATCTCTTAAAATCACTAGCCAATCGACAATGGGGAGCCGAAGAAGAAGTCCTATTAAGTTTATACAGAGCCCTAATAAAATCTAAGTTAGACTACGGATCTATATTATATATGTCTGCCCCTAAAACTTATTTAAAATCACTAGATACAATTCAAAACACTTCATTAAGAATATGTCTTGGAGCCTTCAGATCTAGCCCTACAGAAAGCATATATGTTGAATCATGTGAACCCCCTCTACATATTAGAAGACAACATCTATTAAACTCCTATTTTGCTAAGGTTTCTGCAAACCCTAATAATATATCTTTCCAACTTATTAAAAATTTTCAATTAACAGGAGCACACAGTAGAGCTACTGCCAATTCATCACTACAATTTCTATTGCCACTCTTAGAAAATATTGACGTAAATCTCACCACCCCCATTATTCAGCCCAATACTCCACCTTGGCTAAAAATATTACCTGACTTTAACGTAAATTTGTGCAGATATAAGAAAATGGAAACCCCCAAGATACTCATGAAATAAACTTTTAACGACATAATTAATAGAGGCAAGTTTGATAACATAATATTCACAGATGCATCTAAAGACGAAGAAAGTGTCGGATGTGCTGTTACTTCCACAAATAACATACTAGCAATGTATAGACTACCCAAGATGACCAGTATATTCACAGCAGAACTCTACGCTATACTTAAAGCTGTAGAGGTTCCAATGCAGGGTACCAAAAACTTAGCAATCTGCACAGATTCATTATCATCCATAAATTCGATTAGAAAAATCTACACATCAAATCCTTTAGTTAATGAGATCCACGAAAGATGTACAGCACTTGCTAAATCAAACACTTCGGTTTCGATGATATGGAATCCTTCACATGTTGGTATTAAAGGAAATGAGAATGCTGACCACGCAGCAAATGAAGCACGTCGCTCTGACCTTACAGATGAAAAAGTCCAAATGTTTCAAGACATAATAATTGAAATTAAAAAGTTATCTACCTCAATGTGGCAAAATCAATGGAACAGGTGCACTATCCAACTAAAGTCTATCCAAGCAAACATTTTAGGACCTAGAATTGTTACAATGGAAAGAAAATCGAAGACCATCATTAGAAGGCTCATAATTGGACACACCCGGCTAACCCACGGATATCTGATGGTTCTCGAAGAACCTCCAAACTGCCAATATTGCAACTCCCGTTTAAGTGTACACCATATACTTGTGGAATGTAACCAGTACGCAGCAGCACAGATCAAACATGGTATCCACGGAAGTTTATGTGACATTTTAAAATCTAAAAACAATATGTGTAATGTGATAGAGTTCCTTAAAAACTGTAAATTATATCACCTGTTGTAATTGTATCATCTATCTATATTTCAATTTTGTAATCATCCGCTAGTTTTTTCTTTATTTTTTTTTTGATATCATCTGTATTGAAATTTATTGAATCAATGTAACTTTATTGTTATTCTGTAATACAGTTCCTCGTGTCAATGGCCGCAGCAGCCGAGACATGTAATTTGAAATAATAAAAAAAAAACAAGTCGCCAACACTTACTGTCAGGCTTCGATCCAAAAACGGGAGCTCAGGAAATACTTAACTACGCAAAATAAAAAAAACTGGATAAAAAATGAAAACCAGGATAGATAAGTACAAAAGTTCATTTAAAATTACTGTTCCGGAACTAAAAATACCTCATTTAGTGCAGCAAGAATTATGGCCGAACGCAATCTTCTTGTTCAAGCAAGCTTTTCATGAACTTAAATCAAAGAAAATCTAAAAAAAGAAGACCCTCTATCATATTTAGAAGATTTAATTATATATTTAATGTTTTTAACGACTGAACTCAATATTATTACAAGAACGCACAAGTTTAATTTCACGTAGAAGGATGGTAAAGAAGCTGAACTGTTGCTTATTAATCGTTTGTACAACTTGGTCACCTACTTAATTTTTGTATTAATTTGTTTCATTTATAATCGGCAACGGCCATACCACACTGAATATACCGGTTCTCGTCCGATCACCGAAGTCAAGCAGTGTCGGGTGCGGTTAGTACTTGGATGGGTGACCGCTTGGGAACACCGCATGTTGTTGCCTTCCTTTTTTTCTTTGTTTAATTTTTGATATTATTTTAATAAGGTTAATACTGAGCCATCGACAAAAAAAAACGTAATTAAAGAACTTTGTGGTATTTAACTTTATTAGACTAGTTGGCAATTCAGTTTTTGTTAAAATATATTATTTAAAATTATATTATGATTAGAGGTACGGAATTTTCGCAAATAAAAAACATGAATTTCGAATTTACTTTTTTTATAATTACAAAATTTCGCATTTATTTCGTATTTATTTTTAACTACGAGTAAACAACAAAAAACATTAATTAAAAGCTAACATCGTTGTAATTTCGACGTTCGACTCTTTAAGAGCTGTTCTTCGATCTGTCACTACAATATTATATTTGCTGAAGAATCGTTCTGCATCTACGCTGTTCGTTGGACTCCAGATGCTCTGTAATGCTGCTTTAGCAAATGACGGAAAACTGCATTGTGTAGCAAGCAAAATATCCTTCACATTGGGATCTTCGTTCCTTTGTATCGATTGAAGGATTAATCTGTGAAAGTGAGTATATCCATCTATGTACTCCAATTGTGTCATTGTTCTAAAAAAAGAATTTTAGCAAAGCTTTCTGAGAGTACACTCGGGTTCACAGTAAAACTTGCAGCTATACATGGGTTAAATAACTGTCCAATGTGTAAGAAAGCCTCGTTTGTGTCTTTTAAAGTCATATGGAGAGTTAGTTTATTAAAGGCTTTGTCGTTTGCTTTCATAAGCATTTTCTTCAGTGTAGCGTCAATTTCTTCGTTTTCAGTGAGAAATCGAGATGTTTTTACACCAAAATAACCTTGGCGATGGTGTTCAAGTGACGATTTTAAGCCCTCTAATTTGTTCCATAAAAGATGGGCGAATGGGTAACTGGCTCCTTCCAAATCGTCTATTAATTTCATTAATTTTGGACAGAACTCGGTGGTGAAGGTCATTTGAATTTCTAGTTTACGCCTGAAAGTTTCATCGGCGTAATTGTCTTTGAGAATTTTAATACTGGAATTTTCATTCTCCCACACATCAAAAAAATTGAGTAAGTTATTAAGATATTCACTTAGATACGACACTGCTGAGAACCAAGAGTTCCATCTAGTTACAACTGGTGCTGGATAAAGTTTTGCTGGGAGATTGGGCACGTTTTCTTTCAAATAATTCAAGTAAGATTTCTTCATTTTTCTTGAAAGACAAAAGGCTGACTTGACTTTTGCTGTAAACATGTTTAACTCCTTGAACTCTCCTACAAACACATCACCAACAAGATTAACTTTATGAGCCCAACACTGGTAATGTAAGATATGTGGCCCTATTAGAATTTTTAATAGGTTAAAGCAAGCAGACATGTATCTTGCGGAATCTGATACCAGGCCTTTAACTTGTGAATAACCAATTTCAAAGTCTTTTAATGTATCTATAATTGCCTGTGAACACGTTGATGCATTGGCAGTATCAAGGAAGTTAACACTTGCTAAAAAACATTCTTGATGTAGTACAGAATCTATAGTTCTGAAGAGAATAGCAAAAATACATCTTCCTTGTCCATCCGAGGATTCGTCTGCTACTATTACAATGGGCTTGTCTTTCAGCTGTTGCTTTGTATTGGCTTTTTCAGACAGCCCACACCGAGGCACTACCTTTCTCCTTAAAGTGTCCGCACATGAAAGAGCACCCGACCCCGGCACATATCTAGCAATATATTCACGCACAGCTGGATTATCCAATTTATGAAGTGGAATGTTGGCTTTCAGACACATACTAACTGTATCCTCCACAAAAGTATCATTTTCTTCTTTTGCTCGTTTCTGTCTCTCAAAGCCACTAGCAATTGACATTTGTCGCTTAGTTCCTGAAGTAGATGCTATAGATTTTTTCTTGTTAATGTGGTTAGTCGACTTCACATGTTTCTGCAGTGTTTCCTTTTTATCACCTTCCAAACGAGTATTACAATACTTACACATCACAATATTTGTGTCACACAGATATAGGCCATCGGTTGCAAATTCTTTGACTCGATCACTCAAAATTGTTTTAGGGCGTCCCATTTTAGGAGATACTTTAAGTAACTTTATTTCACTATGAAAACTTTTTTGATAGACTATGTTCTCACTCAGTAAAAATTGACGGAATGAGCATTGATTGTCCTGGTTGACTAATTTATATGTTTAGAAAATAAGAATTAGCCGACTTTTATCAACAACAGTCGGCTTATTTATATTTCTCAAAGAATCAACATTGAAAAATATCAATTCCTTATCTTATCTTTATCTATTTAATGATGAACAATGAAAGATCCTTCTGTTTCAACACGTGTAACAACAGTAAACAATCCTTTCAAAAATTACAATAGAAAACTTTCTGTAAAATCTTTCTATACCTTCGTATCTACCTACTTATTTAGGGGTGAGTTGAGCACCTGCAGATATTTCGCGGAAATAAAAAAAATCCATATTTCGCATTTATCGCATTTATGTTCAAAATTTCGCCGAAATTCGCATCTATTTCGTATAAACGAAAATTCCGTACCCCTAATTATGATAGAGATGAACTCAGTCCAAACAACTCGGAAGAGCATACATAAAGGATTAAGGATGAGGAAATACCTACTAAACAAATCTTGAAGGGACAGAAAAGATGGGAACGAAAAAGTAACTGCTAGAAGAAAACAGTTTGGAGAAACATATAAGATGAATGTAGTAATTCCGTAATATGTATATACAAACAATTCAATATAACGTTAAAAAACATCGTTTATACTTATATGATTAAAAAATATATCTAATTAAAACTTACTAAGCTCTTTTCCCATTCTTTAAACATTTCCACCGATTCCTTAAAATTCTGCCGATTGACGTCGATATCAACATTTGAAATTTCGTCGTTGTATGTTGCAATAAGAAGTTTGGCTTCGGCACAAATTTTCCTAAAATAATAACGTTAGATTCTACTGAAAAAAAGTTAGTTTTATCGCACCTTTGCTCACGAGTCATCATATCAGGAGAATATCCTTCGGGTAACAGAACTTCAAGACCTCTTCTTAAAGTAAACAGGGCTTGTTCGTGTTCCTCCCTCAACCAATGCAATTTGGCCTTCTCCAAGAATAGCGTAGGGGGCGCAAACTCTTCTGCTTTTAATGTGTATGTATACGCTTGTTGGTGCATCTATCAAAAATTACACTTATAATGAAGTATTTTAGAAAGAAAAAAGTAAGACCTTCGTTGAACAAGAGGAGGGGTAATATATTTCTAACAGAAGAATTTATCCAAGTAGATGATGAAAAGTAGATTTTTGGGAAAAATTGAAGACTTAATCAGACATAAATCTATATTTCGAGATATTATTTCGACTAAACATAAACTAAGGAGGTACTTGGCTACAGGAGAGAGCTTTCGTAACTTAATGTACAATTATAGAGTCACAGAAAGTGCCATTTCATAGACTTGCATGAAAGCTTGCAGAGAAAATGGCACCAAACCGATTATCGTGCCATCGCAAGAAGTTGCAGGAAATAATCAACGGATGATATACTGCGCATGCCTTTAGGCAACTTTCGTGCGTCTTGCAGGTATAATTTCAAGCTGTAAAACGAACTTCATGATGAATGTAATATAAAAAATGAAACACTTTCCTAACGTTCTATAAAAAAAGACAAGGAATAAAGAAACATAAGAAAAAGTTATTACTTACCCCAGCAGATCTTGCTGTCTTAGCACTTAGCAGCCAACATTCACCGAGCAAAGAATGCAGATAAGGAACAGCATTGGGAATTTTCTCTTCTGCAACATTTTTTGCCAGGTTCAAAGAAACTCGTCTTAGACATAAAAGCGGTTCGATGATTGCAACCGACTCTTGAACAACCTGTAGGATAAAAAGAATAACATCGAATAAATTAGGATTAATTATTATTTTCTAAAGGCTTATAGATTCAACGATAGATAGATATTCAACACTTACTTTTATACGAAGTGTCCACTCGTTTAAAAGCTTTTTCATCATCCTCTCAGCATATTCCTTATTATTTGGACTGATAAGTAAATCCGACATCAACTTTTCCACTTGTTGTAATTCGTTTAAAGCATGCAATTTTGATATGTATCCATACCCGCTTTTATAGGCACCCTCCTCTAAACTGGTAGCTCCAAACGCAAACACTTGTTGCTTCATTAAACAATCCAGGGTGGTTCTGAACTCGTTTCTTTCTCCTGAAAAGTACAGTATTTATTATGAATGTAATACAGTGCGTAAATATTTCAGCTGGACATAGGTAATATACATTAAGGTAAGTGTGGCAACTGCGCTTTCTCAAGCCCACTGCTGTCGTCTAGGTATCAATTAAGACTCTATTTTGGATGTGCATCGAGCTAAAGTTTTCTGCTACGTAAATATACGTGAATAATTTTAATTTATTGCAATGCAGTTAAAAACCTTGAAAAATTTTATTGTGGGCTATGCCCACCGAAAAAGTATAAAGTATTATTCTAAAAGTATTTAAACATAAATAAAGATAGCCGCCGTCCGGTCCCGCTACCACGATGCAGCCACATGATTGGCCAGCGCGCGCTTCTTGACGTTCGCGCCACGGAGTGTGCCGATACGTCCCGACACGACAGGTCACCGCGACTATAAATAGAGCGGTAGCGGAGTAATCGTCGGATTCACTCCCCGCCTCTCGACGCGTTAGTGTTCTGAGCTGTTGGACGTGAATCCCTGTCCTGGCATTTGGTTTTCACCTCTGGCTGCGTTGAGTAGTTGAGTTACTGTGACCAAATGCCCATCTTGGTAGTTAGTATTCGCCTCTGGTTGCGTTGAGTAACTGAGTTACCGTTGCTAACTACCCATCTTCCTGTCTTCTTTTTCTTTGTTCTCCTGAAGAAGCTACATACAATTGTAGCGAAACGTCGAGATGAACCCACTTTTGGGTCACTCACAAATGACACGGTCCAAACCCGGAAGACGAATAAACTATAATTCATAAATAAATATTTCATTACAAAGAAACTGAAAAACAAACAATACAATCTAGTGTACAAAATAATAAGTAAACTAAATAAAAGGTTCAAATATAACACCTTCTTTTGCAAGACAATATCCTAGTCTATTATAAAATGCTTGTGTGACGTTTGTAAGCTGTTATAGTGTAATCGTAGCATTTGTTATTTTATTTTCTAAACCAGCTAGATTATATACCCTCTCGAGATCGTTGCAATAGATGCTGAATTTGGTTGCCAGAAAAAGAAATACATGGGAGCTAAATCGGGAGATCTCACAGGCCATTTAATGCTGATAAATTTTATTATTATACGGTTCCGCTTATAATGCTGAAAAATTATAAATTCTCACGATACCAGACATCTAAACGTACACCTGGGAGATTTTGAATAGCTGGAATAATGTTATCTAATTTTTGTGAGTTCCCATGTGATCATCTTTTAAATAGTACACAGCGCCGCGAGAAGGAGTTCAGAATTCATCAAAATGTCGCGGTCAGAATTCCTTACACCCTCGAATCACCTAAAGACGAATCATAGACTACAGGCCACCGGGCTCCTTACCTCGAAACATAAACCTACATAATTATTGGTAAGTGGCTATTCTATTGATCTTGCTGCTAATAATTTGAAACTTGTGCTGATTGCACTTACTTATATTTGCAACTTTAACTTCTTGTATAAACCAGTTAATATTTACTAACAAAAATTGATGTATTTGCTTACCATTTTTCATATGTAATAACGCTCTTCCTACTTGTACTCCCCAAATTTTACTATCAGACAAATCAGGTTTCTTTAACAGCGTATCTAATTCGTCGTACTGACCCAGTCTCCACAATGGTTCCGCTTGCATTTCTAACAGCATGTTACCAAAATCTGGTTGGTTTTCGAGAGCGCCTCTTACAAAGTTTAAAGCAGTGTTTACGTTGTCTAAATCTAAATAACATTGCGCCAGGCCCTGCAATCACACAATAAAATATTTATTGCACAAATATTTCTATAATCACAAGACATATCTTAATGAAAAGGATTCATAAATGTTTAGAAGTAAATGGTGCTAATTTTGAACACTTATTATAACTCTTTATTTGTTTAATAAAAGACAGATATTCCATCAAGAGCCAGTAGGAACCAGGAAGAGAGGCAGGCCAAGAACTAGATTCAAAACTCAAGTCTAAGATGACTTGAGGAATCTAGGGGTCAGAAATTGGAAAGCCAGGGCGAAAGATAGGGGGGAATGGAGACTAATTTTTGAATAGTCCAAGACCCACCCAGGGTTGTAGAGCCAAAGATGATGATGATTTGTTTAATAATATAACATTTAGTTATTTTAAATTGTAAGTTATTTAATGAAATTGATACAAAATAAAAAGTAAACATTTTAATGATATCCAGAATTAATAATCCTTTCATACTATTGGTTACTTTTCACAATGAATAACTTCAATGAAAATACTTCATTTTTGGTATGGGACATTGTGCACAAATTTTCTCTAAAATTTCAGGTAGAATTAAAAAAAAATGAAATAGAAATATTAGGTTCGACTTAAATTAACAAAGTCGCGTCTACTTCCGGTATAACCGGAAGTGCTCCATTCAGGACAACATTATATTTCAACCCGACGTCACCCAAAACCTACAGATTCGTAATTTCAGAATTTTTACTAAAATAATAAACCTGTATATGACGTAATTGCAATGGCTGTAACATTCTCTCGTAACAGTTCGTTGCGTCTGCCAATTTTCCTGAGACTTCCAATGCAAGAATTTTTTGTTCGAGGGACGGTTCGTTTTGTTGCAAAGCCATTGCTCCATCTACCCCATCCGGTTCTTCTAACTGTGCGTAAATCTACAACAAAAAATTACAAACGTAATACAAATACCAATACAAAAATAATCAATTTTAGGAAGGATACAAACCTCTGCGAAGAATGATAAGTTGTTGGAAAGTTCTTCTTTGTGGTCCATAATAAAATCCTCTAAATACATCAATGCTCTTGGATATTCACCACAGTGGTAGTTACATTTGGCAAGTTGTAGTTTACATAATTCATTTTGAAATCCCTACAAACAATCCAATAAATACCATTAAATATTTTAATTAATATTTGTTTAGGACTTAACAATAACTGAATATGTTACTTTTAATTTTTGAATTAAGGTATTTTTTCAAATTTTATTTATTATATTTAATAGGTACTTAGTTACCTTAATTGTCTGAAAGTTTTGATCAGCAGTTCCTGCTACACCTTTCTGCCACTGCCACTCTCTTACCCAACGATCCAAAAAGTCCAGTAATAAAAATACAACTTTTGTGCACTGCATTTGTTTTACATCTTCGGGAGTAATAACTGGAGTCTCGGTGCCAACTCCAGGAATCCGAATTGGACGTAACTAAAAATTAAAATAATAAAAAAAATTAAAATATATTACAAAACATCATTCGCTTGGTATTATAAGGTACAGCTGATTTCAAATGCAATGGAGAGCATAATAGAAACAGCTTTGCAGGGGCATTACAATCTTAAACAGTTTTAGAAACATATTTAACCATTTGTGTTACAAAAGACACATTTTATACACTAGGAAGAGTGTAGACACCCGATTTTGCGTTGCCATATGGCAAAGCTGGGCTAAAATGGGATAATTTTTGAAATCGCAAAATATTGTATTATTCACTTAAACAATAAATGAAATTTGCTTTTATAAAGATTGTTTTATCTTTTAATCCAAATTATAGAATGGGGATGGTCAAGTGTAGTACGAGTAAACAGATCAGATTGGTATTGGAGTCCAGAGGGATATTTTACAGTGTTTAAATTATACAAACAGTGTTTCCTGAAGATAATCAAACAAATATTAAACAACGTGTGACCAATCTACTGGGGTAAACTGTAAGCACAGTAGAAAGAAAAATTATACAAGTAAATATGTTAACAAATGCATATTCAGATTCTCTCGAACCTCCGAACCGTAAACATATCAGCAATTAGCGATAATTGATATTTAATATTAGCTTGTTAGTTTTGACAAAATAAGGAATTTTTTTATTTCAAATGTAGAATTTTGTTTATATCTAACATTTAAACAAAAGTGCAGTTTAAAATGTGTTACTTCTTCTGGACTAAAAACTGTAAGTTTGATTTTCCTATTTCATCTATAGGGTAAACAACTATTTTGCCGATTTGGCGTGAGGTTAATTACCAGTCCTTCCCGTAATAATCCATTATAAGCACCAGGGCCGTATTCAGGGTACTTAGCCCAAGCATGGAAATTGATTCAGCAGCGGGATCTTGCACCATGGAAAGTTCTGGCAATCTACTTGTAAACCAACCATCAAAATTATATTTTACAGCTATTAATCAACCTACAAATAAATTTCCAAACAAAAAACAAGCAATGCTACTTCACTCATTCCCAAACTCTAATATTGAAGTTTACTACAGTAATTTGTAAAGTGGATCCCAGAAAAAATACATTCTATTCTCTAGTTTCTAGCAATCGCCAATGGGATTGTAGTAATTATTCAAGAACGTATTCAAGCCCGAAGACTAATAAGATCAAACGAACGATTGATTATTTCCAAGGTATGTCCAAGTATTCCGCATAGCATTATAGAAGAACAATTGAAAAACTTAGGTACACATCTACTAACTCGAATTGACTTTCTCAGGATAGGGAGTTCAAAGCCAGCATTTAAGAATATCTTGAGTTTCCAACGATACACTTTTTTAGGGACAACTAACTTAGACAAATTACCCGATTCTATGTTAATTAACCATGAGGATATCAACTACGAATTTTCTTTACCATCGAAAAGCAATATTGCTACTTACGCAAGCAACAAGAACATTTTGCACGTCAGTGTCCCAATAAAAATAATCAGACTCCTTCAAACAACACCCAAAATACCGTTCATTTAAACTCTCTACAGGAAGTACACCAATCAGCTCCCCTTTCGACAATTTATTCTACACAATTCTCTCCTACTGATACTGAAACTACACTACAACAATCAGCTCCTTTGTTGATAAATTTCTCCACACAATCCTCTGAGGCTGAAACGTCTAGAAAAATCATTACCTCTCTATCAAATAAGCATACTCCGATAAACTGCGACCTACCCAATGAGACTCAAATTAACATTATTGAAATTGACCGAAACGTATCTTAAAATAATAACCCCCGAAAACGTATCTTAAAATAATAACCCCCCAATAAGAGATAACGAAAATACCTTCGTTGAACCTAAGCCACGAAACAAAAAATACTTTTTGTTGGAATTTCCAACTATAACACATGCTAAATAGAAAGCAATTGTGATACACTTGGAGGACGACTACAACAAACAGTTCAGTAGAAATACAATTTGTCATTTCCATGAGACTGACAGTTGTCATATATCAATGAAGCTTTTGCAGAAAAAGCTTAAAGAGGTGTATGAGGCTTGAAGAGGTTGGAAGTGTTAATTTTCTCTACATGATTGTAAATATTTGTGATTTAAATGGAAAACGAAAGACAGAGGACGTTTATTGATTGAACGGAATTTTTATTCCTCTTACTACAAATCTTTATCTACTTACATTTAATACTTTTTCATCCAAAGTCCTCTCTTTACTAAAAGAACTGGTAATTGTTTGAATTTCTATTAAGGCCTTTTCTGATATTCTATCGGTACCTTCTAATAGAGCATAAAGTAGAATGTGTGGTAAAAAATGCATAAGAATACGTTTATCTTGTTTCATACTTGGAATGTAGACTTTTAACAGCTCCTTTCGTTCGTGTGGAAGACACGATATTAAACTTGATGTCCAGCTATAAAAATGTTGAAAATTAGTGCAGAAAATAAAAAGTACTAAGTAGCAAAGATACTAAAACATATGTTTGACTAAATAACAGTACAAGAGATAACCATAACAATAAATAACATAAAAATACACTTACTTATGCAACCAAGACTGAAATGACGCTCCAGAATTAGATCCATAAATTGGAGTTGGTAAATTACTTGCTAGTACTTCTTGTGCTATCATGTACCTGGAAGAGAGAAGAGGTAACATCACTTCCTTTTGAGAATCGGGAAATTGTGACCACAGATATTGCTTGTTGCTGTTTTCATCTGGAGAAATTTCGTATCCCTTTAAAGTTTCTTGTATTGCCAATGCATGCCTGTCCATACTCTAAAAACAAGTTTTTACATCTTTGAGCTTCCAGAATGATTCGCAATTTGTTCACTAATATCATATACTCAAAAAATATACCTGAGTATTCTTTTCAGTCTGAAAAGCTTTTATTAATTCGTTAAGAGAACTAACGATAAAAGGATCTTCGTTTATATAGAAACAAAACGATCTGTCGTCTTGGGCATACCTAAAAGGCAAACAATTTAGTGCAAATTCAAAAATATGTAAGAAAATCTTACCTTCTAGGCATATGACTTGGTTCTATTGCTCCTAATTCTCCCAAAACATCGCCACACGCCAATTTCAAAGCCTCATCTTTCTCTCTACATCCCATTGTTAATATATCGACAAGTTCAACAATGGCGGTATCTATACCATTGTAATCTAGAATCATTTGGTCAAGTCCTTCCCTGTCTTCCTCTAGATAAGTTTTCAATTGCCGTAGACCTTGGATACGAACTTCCATAGCTTCATGGGTTAAATATTTTAGAAACCGTTGTATTTTTTCTTTTAGACTGTTCTTTTCTAACAACTCTATATACTTTCTTATAACTATTGTGATCTCTACATTTATTTTCGGGTTATTTACGAAAAATAAATCTGGAATATAATTTTTCATATGCGCTTCATTCTCAATTATCAGATAATTTAAAATACCGTTGATTTCTTGCGAACAGTTTTCAATAAGAGGTAAAATTGAGACACAAATGACAGCTAGTTGGGGTCCTAGAGACTCTATCTCGCATGTTTTAATAAAGGCATCCCATACTGCGCAAGTCAGATGTGGGGAACTCTCGTAATCTATGGTTTGAAGCATGGCAATGATCTTGAACCGCAGTGGCATTATATGTTTAGCTCCCATATATCTACAAATATAGAGAATATATAGTTTTATTTCAGTTTATACAGAATATACAGTTTTTTTAGTTAGAGAGTGGTGCAGGTAAACATTTTCATGAAAAATAAAAAGAAGTCTTGTAAAAATGATTTGTAACTAAATCCTCAGGCAGCTTTGGGCATGCTTATACCAAATGAATTGTTCGTGATTCCACTGTGGGAATCATCGAAAACAATGAAAAGTGGGAAAAGCCCTGAACCTGACATGCTTCCTATTGAAATCCTAAAAATTCTAGATGAGAAGCACATTGATGTTTCAAATACACTCTTCAACCAAATTTATAGTTAACATCGATTTTTATTTGTCTCCCCAAAAAGAAAAACGTAAGAGAATGCAGTGATTACCGCACCATTAGCTTGATGTCTCATGCGCTTGAGTTATTACTAAAAGTCATCCATCACCGAACATATCACAAACTTTACATAGACTTTAATGCTATACAAGATATATACGCATGTTTTATTGACTATAATAAAGCATTCGATAAAGTACGACATGAACAATTAATGAATGTCCTGAAATCATAGAAGATTGACTAAAACGACCTCACGATCATATCAAATTTGTACTATAAACAGCGAGCAAATGTACGTGTTAACGAACAGCTGTCGGAACAAATTGAAATTACACGTGGAGTAAGACAGGGATACGTATTTTCGCAGAAATTTTTTTTTTAATGCCTACTCCAAAGAGATCCTGAAAAAAGCTCTTGAGGGTGTAACAGCTGTAATAAAGGTAAATGGAATTCCCATTAACATCATTAGATATGCGGACGACACTGTGATCTTAGCCGAAAATATTGAAGATCTTCAGAGACTGGTGACCAGAATAGCGGAGTATGCAAAAGAGAACGGTCTAACAATGAAAGTCCAGAAGACGAAATTTATGAGAATATCGAAAACTCAAAGAAATAACGAGAATCTTCTAATATATGTGAAGGTAACTGCGTAAATGGGAACAATGAATAACTCCACAAATGATTACATTCAGATCAAAATCAGAATAGAAAAGGCTAGAGCAAATTTCAACAAAATAGGAAGAGTGCTATGTACAAGGGATTTAAAATTGGAACTAAGAGTTAGGTTGGCGAGGTGCTATGCTTTTTCGACTTTTTTTCTATGTTTTATGGAATGGAATCTTGGACCTTGAATGCGACATCAATAAAAAAACTGGAATTCTTCGAGATGTGGGTGTATAGAAGAATTGAAAATATCGTGGACAGAAAACGTCACAACTAAAGAGGTTCTAAGAAGGATGAATAAAGAAGTAGAAATTTTAAATACAATTAAAACAAGTAAATTGGAATATCTAGGACATATTCCACGTGGAGAGAAATACACCTTGGTCCAACTGATCATGCAAGGAAAGATCCCAGAAAAGAGAAGCATAGAGAGGCGAATCAAATGAACATTATCAGAGCATCTGTCTCAAAAGTCTGAATAGCTATTGTCCATTGTTTCATCAAATTTATTTTTGTAATTTTGTTTTTTTAATTTCTACATTTCTTATATAGTCCAATAAAGAAATTCTACATGACCTTTATAAAAAGGTCATTACAAAAATTTAATATCAAAACTATTTCAAAGGTCTAAGGCACCGAAATGAGTGTGTAGAATGCGGATCATTGCAAATAATGCAATGAGGTGAATGACCAAGAATAAGGCAGTGCTTAGTGCTATAGAGATAATATACCTCATACTTCCATTATGTGACATAGTTAAAGTGTTTTTTGACACCATACAGTTTCTAAGAGAGTTTCTCTGCCATCTTAAAAAATAAAAAATATAATTTCTCATAGGGCATGGTATGCAAACGGGATTCATATGTAGTAATTAGAGGTGTGCTTATTAGTTCTTTTAGACGAACTAGTTCAAGAGAACTATTTCACAAAAATGAACTAGTTCGCGAAAGAACTATTTGTTGGACCGAAATCGAAATCCAACCCTAACATAACTGGTTACCAGATGTCTCGTCTCAATCATCATACAAGCTCGGCGCCGGCCGCCCGTTTTCTTCGGTTTTCAGTCAGTCTTTCACTACAAGTAGTTCGGAACAATTTCTTTCGATCGTATGTTTAGGTTTAAATTATTATATGATTAGTTAGTTTTTATTTGCAAAAAATTATTAAGATTTGTTTTTTATTAACCGTTTTAAATATAAATATGGTTTATGTATGATTTATTTTTATATTTACGTATATTTAAACTCATAGATATCTATAATTAGGTTATTTCTAAAAGAACTTTCACAAAAAAAGATCAGTGAATTTTCTAGGAACATTAAATAACACATTTTCATTCTCCTTATGACATTAAGATAAGACTGTTTATGATATTGTCACATTCATAAGAATTATTATCTGTCATCTGAGGCTAATCGGCATTTCTGTTTTTAAACTAGTCAGTCCATCCCATTCGCATAATAATAAATATATTAATCTCATTCATTCATTATTTTCTTCTTTAGAAGTTAAGACACAATTTATAAGGCAAATGGTTCGCAGTGAAATAGTTCTATGAAATTAATGAACTAGTTCAGTTGAAAGAATCGTTCATTTGAACTATTTCGATGGTGAACTACACATCCCTATTATAGTAGTAATTATCATTTCTTGGTAAAAGATATCATTATAATACTTACTTAAATAAATCAGCTAGACTTAAAAGGCACTTATCCTTCCTAGAATTTTTAGATATGAGCTTGCCGTCAAAGTATAAAAGTACTCCAAGAAAATGAGAATGGAGATAGTCCTGAATTGAACTTCCTTTGTTTTCGTAGTCTTCGTTCGATAATAATCGCAAAGCGAGCAAAACTCTGCTGTTATTCTCGTGAAAGTTTAAGAGTAGTTCGTTAAGGATTATCTGAAAAATATTTACGATATCAATTACAGTGATATTACTATATATTAAGTAGTTATAAATTAATTGCGAATGTGGTCTTACACTGAAGAAAGAAAAATGTACATTTTTTGCGGAATCAGTATCTTATCTCGGATTTATAATCGATATAGCGGGCTTTCATAAAAGTGAAGACAAAATTCGAGGTATCGAGGAAAACTCAGAACCTACAAATATGGCACAACTAAAATCGTTTTTGGGAAATATAAATTACTATAGTTGTAATAGATTCATTCAAAATCTCCCAAATATTGTTTATATAAACTTTTAAAATAAAATGTAGTTTGGTACTGGCACAGAATAAGAAGTGGCACTGGGATGAGGAATGTCAATTAGCTGTTGACATTATTAAATAAATGTTATCTTTAAATCTAGTATTCATTAATTATGATCAACTCTAGATTTAAATTTGATGCATTCCATTATGATAAATCAATCTATTCTGCTAGTAGGATGCTTAATAATGCCGAAAAGGCATATTCGACTTTAGATAAAGAAGCAACGAATGAGTGATCAATGTAGTAGTGATTAGTGATTAAGGCAGTAGTGCATTGATTAGTGATCAGTGCAGTAGTGTCTGTGTGCTCGGGAGCCTGAGATCTCGGAAGTCCTGAAGAAGACATCAGAGAGGATGTCGAAAGCTCGGTGCAGTGATAATCGACGAGGTGTTTAGCCCGGAAGCCTGGTGAAGTTAATATTTAAAGTTTATATATGTATAAATTTGATTAGTAAACATTAATATAACAATATTATTAAACAAAACTTACTCTAAAATTCCTTTTCCTTAAGGAAATCCCGCTGGCATTGGTAGATTTCTCCAAAAACATCATACACTTTTTAAGATCCTCCTTTGGAATGTCTTCTAAAAACACGTGAATAAAAATATAACCATATCTTGACGACAATGCTTCGGCCAAATCCATTTCCATCATGGCAGCCATTTCTTGTATCAGCCTCGAAACCGAAGGAATCTTAACAGTTTTAGAAACGAAAAACGGAAGCAAATAATTACTTTCTTGATGAACAAAATCTTTGGATCCATAAAATCCAAACATCAGAGATACTTTCTCCAATGACGTGGAAAGGTTGTAGTTGATTAATGCTTGGTTAATACAACACAAGTGGGATATGACTTCACATATTTCTCTTTTATTTTGACTGTAGATAGTAGTCGTGCTTGTGTCATTCTTCTCTGCCAGTTTGAAGCATTTGTTCACTGCTATTAACGAATATTTCGAAGTCGGGATCATGATGAGATAAAGTAAAATTTTCAAACTTTCCAAAGTAACATAATCGGATTTTATAACAGTAATAGACTCAATTGTACTTAATAAAGTGTCTTGCAACTCAAAGTTGGAGAATTTCAGGGAATCTTTGGTAAAATTTAAAAGTTTGGCAAAAGTTAGTTTAAATATTTCCTTTTTTATGTCTTCGGAGAGAATGGGGTTTTCCTAAAACAAATTAATTAAGAAAATTAATATTATTAATGGTAATTAGTATTATACTAAGTATAGTAATATTTTCTGCACGACCATTATAGTGGTCATAATAGTAATTCTGAAATCATTATTAGTAGGTAACCTCTCTCCGGAACCATTGGAAACAAATCCAAACTCTCAGTCCTATATCGTTGAAAACTTTTTCTGAATTATTAAAATTGACCTTTGACACTAATTATTTAGTGCTCAATAACAGATTCTATCATCAAATTTTTGGAACACCTATGCTACCTTCGATTAATCAGATTACTCAGTATTTAACAGCTTTGATCTACCCCTCTAATTCACATTCAACGGCTTCCTAAATGACCACTCTTCACGCCCAACCAGATATAAACATATTCTCGCAAAAGCCCATTTCTAGCAACATACAGATGAACAACTCACTGTTTACCTCAAACTAGCAATATAATATGCTTCTCTCCCGTATTTCCCACAAATCACGAATAAGCTCTTCAATAACTTATTAGTTAAAATAGCTTTACAAAACACCAGAATTATAGGAAAGTTGTTTTCGAAAACCAAAACTTCTTTGACCCCTTTGGAACACACTAATGCTGTCTATCATATAATCTGTGCAGGGAGCAACTCCTACTATATTGGCCAGAGCAGCTGTTCTCTTCAAGGTAAAATAAAGTCTCACAAAAGTGACATTAGGACTTCTAAACCCTCTTGTGACATTGCACAAAATGCCCTTTCAACCAAACACCAAATCAACTTCACAAACGTCAAAATATTTTGCAAATAACAAAATTATCATAAGAGATCCCTACTAGAAATGTGCGAAATTTTAAAACATCCAACAGCCTCGAATAAAATAACTGATATAGATAAACTCTTTTTTTCTTTTACATCTCTATATTTAGCCACAGAATAAATAACAATCATAACGTCCACTCTCAAATGCCGCCTTTGAAGTGTGTCAGAAAGCGTTCGGCATATTTTAAAAGGAAACATGGACTCAGATTGAGAAATTTGTTACAAGCAAGCTCAGAATTGTAATTTAAATTTTTAGATATTAATAATTTAGTAAATTTGAAATAATTTAATCTATCAAGTAAAAGAACAAATAAAATATTGCTCTATGGTTGCCGTAAATAAATTAAACTGGGTTAATTTTTCTATGCACACCAGATAAAATTTCACTGAACAGCACTGGGTCCAATTAAAACATGGCTGATTCCGTCTGTGCAAACTTATCTGGACAATCAGAGTGGACATTCTGATTATTTACTATTCTGTGATTTAGCTAATTGTTTTTAACTTCATCAGGAGAAAAGAATTAAGAGTATTTTAACATTTCCATGTTCAAAACAGTACTTATGTTTGAGTTTATTACACTATTAAAAAAACTTTTAAGCAGGTCTTTAACATGTTTTATATTTATATAATACTTTTTTTTTAATTTGAAATAAAAAATTGTAAACATCTATTTTGAATACTATGTGTGGGAGCGACTAACCAACCAAAAGAAAGGATTATTCCAAGACCTACTATAATTACTATTTTTTTTTTCGATTTCTCTTAAATTTATAATAAAATAATAAAACAAAAAATCTCTTACCTTACAAAACTTGACTGTCTGTCCAAAAATTTGTGCAAATTGTTTCCTTATTTCCTTGTTTTTGTCTGAAGCAAGCTCAATCCACTTCTGAACTATGTTTACTGAGTGAAACTGTAACACATGACTCGAAAAGTATGGCAAGGTATGGAGAGCAGCCATTTTTATTTCATCGGAGGGCTCCGATAATAAAAACAATACATGTTTCAAGTTGAATGAAACTGATGTTTGTTCAATCTGGATCTTTGGACAGCTTTTGTATGCTGCATTTTTTCCAAATTTTCTTTCTACAAGTTCTTGCGTGGAAATAGTTTTGTTCTCTTGTAAGTTACATTTTTGACACAAAATTTCAAACTGCAGAGAATTTTTATTCATCCATACAACTTTTGTGTAATCGCAGCTTACTGTACACAAGATATTTGGCAAAATTGTTAAGATTGTTTCTAAAACTTTGTGGTCTTTTGAAGTAAAAGCTGGGTTTAATATCTGTGCGATTATTTTATCTGGTTCTTGAAATAGCATAAGTATGTGTGGAATATTTTCAACTACCTAAAACAGTTATATCTGTATTAAATATTGTTACAGATCAACAAAAGCTCAATTATTTATTTAGATATTAAGCAGAAGATTTTAATATAGCAAAAAAGTAATCATTATTCGATAAGTTTAATAAGTGCCTTACAATAATTAATAATGATCATTAAGGAGCTTCCATACTACATGTTACGAAGCAATATTTTTTCTTTTACCTCTCTTCTGGATATGGCATCCCCACAATATTTAACAATACATAATGATACACATGAATTATTTTTAGGCAATATCTGCCCTTGCTAAATCGTTCTATAACATATGACTCACAAATTGTGTTTCCAAAATAACTCTTTTTTTAATTTTCTGAAAGAATGCACAAAATAATAGTACTAAAAAATTTAGGTATAACTATCACAGAGAGTTATTTAATGCACAATAAGCAATAGCAATAAAAACAAAAAGTGGACTTAATATAACAGATTTAATTAACAGATATAATACCAGAATATAATTCTAAATCTATTTTCTTGTGGCATTTGAGTTTTGTAAATACTATAGTATAGGAACTGCTTTACTTGAAATTTAAAATTATTAATATGGTGTACTCACGAACGGAGTGCCCAAGAGAAAAATATTTTTTAATATAAGTTTTTAGCGAGAAATCTCATTCTTGATAAAAGTTTTGTTTGTTCTAAACTCCATAAAATTCAAGTTTTTCAAATCCTGCTTCACTTTATAGTAAATTTTATGTAAATCCCTAAGAATATTTGAATTAGTTTCGGAAATGTAATAATAATTTAGTGAGTGACATTTACAACAGTAATCTAGACGGTGAAACCCTTGAATTTTGTTTTATTTTATATAGTTTTAGAAGAAATAAAACTTTTTATTAGGAATGGCATTTTTCGCTAAAAATAAAAAAGTTTCTTCTCTTGGGCATCCCATTTAAGGACAAGCTGTATATACACGAGGGAAAAAATAACAGATTTAATTGGATTTCTCATGTACATTTTAATATACTGTTTATATATACTTACAAAAACAACATCTTCATCATTGCCAGATTCCATAACACCTTTAGCAATCTTCAAATACAAATTCTCAATTTCAGCTAACTGATTATCACTGGTGATTACTAGATTGCTTGTTAAAATAACAAACAGTTTATTGAGAACTTTAAGAGCCACACTTCTTGGGGTATTTTGAGCCCACAAATATTTGTAAAAAGATCTGACAACCATTTTAAGGTCTCCAGTATCATTCTTTGAGGTAAAATTGATGGGAAATTGGTTTTCATTTCTATACACAAATGATTTTAACAATTGGAAAGTGATAATGTGGAAATATAGACTTATGTTTTTGGTACCCGTTAACAATGCACAGTGGACCATGAAATTAAATGCTTCTTCTAAAGAAGTACTAGTTTTGTCACATCGATTTACATGATCTAAATATTTCTTTATAAAATTTATTAATAGATCAATTTCATCAAAATAGGATAGTGTAGTTTTGGTTCTCTGATGTTTGGTTAAACTTATAGACAATAAACTGTTTGTCATATTTTTAAAAAAGTTCATACAGTCAATAATGGCACAATTGGACAGACAACTAATTTGCTTTAATAAAGCCATTGTTTTCTTATGAACCATGTACCATGTTTTATTAGTACTCTCTAAATATAGTTTTATCTCCCCTGAAAACAGCTCCATTTCTTCAATATCTTGATTTAATTTTCGTTTAAGACTATATATTAGGGTAGTATTTAAAAATGTTAATTTCTCTACATTTTCTATATCATCTCTACTAAATTCTGTTACATTTTCAGCTACCAATATCTGAATATCTGAAGAAAGTGTAAAGCTAGTATTTTGTATGGTAATATTAAATAAAAATTTACAAATTTGGGGAATATTTTGAAACAATTTTTTTACTCTCTTTTTACTACTCAAATATAATTGAAGGGATTTTTCCAATCTCTCCATCAGTTTGGTCTCCAAATTATGAGAATTATAGGTTTTATGTAAAAATTGTTCAAATAAATTTGAAAATATAAGAAATTTGGGTGTTATTTCTGAATTGTACAAAACATCTGAATCTGTTTCTGCTAGATCTATAAAAATTTCTATAACCTGCAACTGTAATTCTTCATCACATTCCGATAACAAAAACAAGAGATTATCAAGTATTTCACAAGTACTCTGGTCAAAACTATAGCAAGTAAAATTTTCCTCAAGTATATAGTTTATAAATTTCATCAATTTTAATAAAATAGAAGTACACTTAGCCTGTGACTGAATTTCCATAAATACTTGATTTAAATTCAGTTCTTGATTTAAGTCATCTATATTTTGAGGTACAAACACTTCCAATATGACTTTGTCTTTAGAATTTTTACAATAGTCAACTAAAAGATTTAATATTTTCTTATATTCTTTAGACAATTCATCAAAAACATGCAACTGAGTGTTAGACAACTGGTCCAAAATACACAACTGTATATCAATAATGGTGTCATGGACTTTACAAAACTTGTCATATCCCAGTAAGTAAAAAAATTGACCCAACAGCCAAATTGTAAATCCCTTATACTTTTTTTGGATTTCTTGATATTGTTCAAAAGTTACATTGACTTCTTTCGCACAAATAAACAATATGTTGGAATATTCTTTGGACTGAATTATTGAAGCTAGTCTTCTAATACTTGGTTCCCAACATTCTGCTTTTATTATTGCTGGAATAGTTTCATTAAACATTTTCCACATGGAAAATGCCGGTATTGTCTCCTCTAGTGTAGTCATTTTCTACTGTCAACTTGAAATAAACTACAAATTAGAAATGTTCTATGTAAATTTTCCTATCTACATTAATTATATATTAAATTGTTAACATATTAAAATTTTGGTCTTAAGTATAAAATTTTTTAACTTGCTAACACTTGTTACTTGTTTATGTATGTTTTGACAGTTAAAATTTTTAAACTACTGGACTGGACAACTGGACTGGCCTTCAATCATTATTCATCCCCAAACTTCGAATTCGAACTAAAATTTTATCATTTATAAACTAATTTTTTAAGACTTTTGAACTTTGATTTGTAGAAAATATAGATTTTTATAAACTATTTCAAGTGAGCCTATAAGGAGATGATAAATATTCAATAATATAACAAATAGAAAAGGGAAAAAATATTTGACATTTAAAACTGACATGAACAGTAACATAACCTCGAATAACAAGTTTATAAACACAATACATACCCCAATTATAAAAATATATGTTTGGAAAAACAATTTTTACCTTTATAATTATTTCCAAAGAAAATGTCTAAAAGAAGTTGCCCCTTTGATGAGACTGGTCAATATGTAAAAAAGCAAACAATTAATCAATGTAAGTCTAGAGGTATCCGTTCAACTGCATCCGAAAAAACGCTACAGCTCCTGTTCAAGGGATCTTCTAAACAGTTTATACCATTAACAGAATCACTTAAAGAATCTACTACATGTATACAATGTTCCACTCTTAACGATATCAAAAGTAAATGTGCGTATTGTGATAATTCAGTATGTGTCAGTTGTATAACTCTTTGCAATAACTGTGATAAAGAATTTTGTAAAAATTGTTCATTTCCTAATTATGCAGATAATTCGCACTCGTGTTATTCTTGTTATTAATTTGAAATTACCAAGTGATACAAATATAAGTAGATATTGATTTAATCAGTGTAAGGTGTATAGTAATTATGTAAATTAAATAAATCCAAAATATTTCTATTTATGTTCGTCTTATTTGTTTATTCCATTGCAAAATAAAATATGTGTGGGACTAACTTGTATGGCATACAAACTAGTTGAACAAATATGGTAATACATTTAGGTGCCCCTTACGGCATAAACGCTACACTCTAGTATTACTGTTGCTTCTAAAGACCATTAACCATCCATCACCTGTGATCCCGCTGGTAGCTTGCAGCTTAGCCCCATCCTGCAAGTAATAAAAATAAAGTTGTAGAAAATTTAATTAAGATGGTGGCTGGGGAACAAGGGTGGTGACCCAACAAACTTGAACTTCAACTTATACTTGCTTGTACTAACCACCCTCACACATAAACAAATAAAATAGTGCCCTCTCAAAAATGTAATCGCAATGTAACTTTTCAATGGACTAATAGGTACGTACCTATGTACAAAAAAAGTGCTCTAAAATCAAATGCTAACAGAAAAAAATTAGTTAATTAGATAAGACATTTTAGAGAGCTATTGAAAGGACAAAATACATATATAGAGGACGGTGAAAATCCACTTACATACCGAATACTCCCACCCTTTCTTTTGTGAAGAAGTCACTATATCTATCAAGAATGTAAAGCTCCAGGTTTTGACAATATTCATCCCAAATTCTTAATTAACAGCAGCAAATATATACGAGAGCATGGATGGTCCACTTTTTCACAGACATACCAGTACCATACCACAGGAACTCAAATGCTCAAAGATCATTGCCATATTATTTATTTATTTATTTATTTATTTATTAACGGATATACCATTTTTACATTGGAACAACATATATATAAAATTTTACAAAGTAAGCACAACATTGGAAAATAATAGTAAAGTTTAACAAAATTAATAATTAACTTGAATACAAACTAATATCAAAAACTAATAATTAACTTCAATACAAACTAATATTACACAAATAGCAGTCTCTTTATCACATTTTTAAATTGTTCTAAGGACTGGAAAAATAAGTCCAGATCACTTTGGTACCTATTATATAGTCTCAACATATTAGTAAGAGGCTTGAAGAATTCATAATTAAATTGATGAAATGGCAGATGAAACAATGAAGTATGTCTAGTTCCATGAAGAGTGTTAAGACCTAATCGATTTAAAAGTTCAGGGCAATTTATCAAATTATTAACAATTTTGTAAAGGAATATTAGGCATAAATAATCTTTTCGCTGATTCATGGAAACCATTTTTAAGTGATCAGCTATCATACTATAACTGTATGGGACAGAAAGGTCATGAAAAGCACTACGGTAATGATAGTGTTTACAAAATTTATGCTGAACACGATCAAGCTTGTCAATAGAGGTTTGATAGTAAGGTCCCCATACAACTATTGCATATTCTAGTCTGGAACGAATGAGACTATTAAAAAGAATTGGTAAAACAAAACATGAAAATTGAGAAGTGTTTCTAGTTATAAACCCTAATTGTTTAAATGCAATGTTTACTGTGACCTCTAGATGATTACGAAATGTTAATTTACAATCAAAATAAACACCTAAATCCTTAACACAGTCCTGCCTTGACAGCTGAGTGTTATCAATGCTATAATCGTAATTTAAAATTGTTTGCTTTCTGTGAAAAGTAATAACACAACACTTATCAATGTTCAATTTTAATTCATTTAGTTTGCACCAATCGCTAAATCTGCTGAGATCCTCTTGTAACTGAATTTGATCATACTGACAAGTAATGACTTTATAAATTTTTTATCATCAGCAAAGTTCAGAAATTTTGAATTCTTAATGACTTTTTCAACGTCATTAATAAAGAGGACAAAAAGTAGGGGACCACAATGTGACCCTTGTGGTACTCCAGAGAGGACGTCAACAGATTGAGACAACACACCATTTATCTTAATGCTCTGGGTGTTACCCACAAGAAAACTATCATACCAATCAAGCCATTTGCCAGCTATACCAATGGCTCCTAATTTACTGATTAAATAACGATGATTTACTTTATCAAATGCCTTTGAGAAGTCAGTATAGATGCTGTCCACCTGGTACTTCCTCTCAAAGGCACCCAATATATCATCTTGGTAGACCAACAAGTTTGACACTGTGCTCCTCCCCCTTTGAAAGCCATGCTGTTGGGGTATTATTATATTGTCTGTTAGTTTTGATAAATGAGAAGTCACTAGTTTGTCGAGAAGTTTTGGGATTGCTGACTGTATACAAACTCCTCTGTATTTTTCAATATCCTCTCTTTTACCTGACTTAAAAATGGGTACAATATAACTGTTCTTCCAGCAAGGAGGGAACTCACCAGTCATAAGAGATAAGTTATAAAGATATTTTAGGGGAATAGTAAGTGAGCATAGACAGTGCTTTAATAATACCGGTGGGACTCCATCAGGCCCTGAGGAGAATTTGTTTGGAAGTTTACTTAATTCATCAAACACTGATATAGTGTCAACTTGAATTAGGTTTACAGGGTCAATGTGTCTGACACAGTCATTAAAATCTGGAATGGGAGCACCTTTATCTTTCTCATATACACCAGAGAAGAATTCAGCAAAAAGGTTAGCAATTTCGATATTGCCCTGTGCCCTTCTGTTACCGAGATACATTTCTTGGGGGTAACTCGAAGATTTACGAAGTCTGCCAATGTATCCCCAAAATTCCCTGGGGTTATTACTAAAATTTTTTTCAAGAGATGAAAAATGTTGTTTCTGACAAAGTGTATGTTCAACTTTACATTGATCACGTAGATTAGAGAACAATAAGTAGTCCTCATTTGAATTAGATAATTTAAACCTCAGATGAGCTTTTTTCTTTTGAATAATAAGATCTTTAAGTTTTATTGAGAACCAAATTGGGAACTTGTAGGAACACTTGACAGCCTTCATTGGAACAAAAATATCTAAACACTGATACATATAGCTGTAAAATATTTGACAAGCCTCATTTATATTATTACAATGGTATAATGCATCCCAATTAACTGAAGATAGATAAAGGTTAACAGAATTAAAATTACAGTTTTTGAAATCATAAACATAGTCTTCATAAAAAACTGACTCTTTAAAATAACCAATAGGGATAAAAAATTCATACGGCTTATGCCTGAATGATTCACAAAACAATGGATCGACCGGCGTACATACATTTAGATCATATTAAAACCAGGAAACCAAACGATAACCACCCTAAGAACTACAGACCAATAGCCCTACTATCAGCTACATTCAAGCGACTAGAATGACTTATCTACAACAAAATTAGTGCAAAGCTACTTGAATCAAAACCAGTTGCTCAGGCAGGTGTCCGACTGAAAAGAAACTGCGCAAATCAGGTTCTTTCACTTACTACATTTATTAAGGCAGGGTTTCAGAGTGGAGAGGGTTACAGTCTGGAGAGAAGGCATCATATACAATATCCTGTAAATCCACCGCTAGAATAACCAACAGAATGCTAGCCAACCAAACGATTCAAGTAGTGGTGCGAAGCGACATCAGCACCCCAACAAAACTGAAGAATGGACTGCCTCACGGATCTGTCCTAGCTCCTCTTCTCTTTAGCCTATATATAATTGATAAACCAGATCAAGAAAGTTTGGTTACGATGATGACTGGGTCCTTGCAACAAGGTGTAAGTCATTTGAAGAAACAGAAGAAATCCTTACGGCGGACTTACACACAGTGGAAAATTATTTCCGTAAATGGAGGCTCCAACCAAACGCTACCAAAACAGAGGTTTCGAGTTTTTACTTAAATAACAAGCTTGCAGAAGAACACTCTACATCCAATTCTAAAACACCACACTCAACCATTCCACCTTGTGATCATCTGCCCTGGGTCTTGTCTTCTCAACCGAGAAATACTGCTCTTCAGTCTGACTTAACAGCCCACGCATATACACAAAGTTGATGCCAAATTGAACAATGAGAATGAATAATGCTGGCGTTATCAAATACACTCCTAAGCAATAGGGCATCAAGCTATAGATGCTGCCAACGATATCTGTCTAGGCTCCAGACGACCGGCAATAAAAACAGCACAGAGTGCTGTAGAAAATGACTACTCAA